CTACTTCCGTTGACCTCGCTGGTATAGGTAAATCATTGTGTTCGGAAGTAGAACAAGATTTGTTAGACTGGATTCTTACAGACAGTTGCATGCGAGTTGTCCGACTAAACGGAACAATAAGAACATGAAAAGATGGTGACACACACACACCGTTTCCCTTTCGTTGTCTCTGCCTGATTGCAGTTCAGATGAATTTTATAAGAAGCTATGGTGGAAGGTGATTTTAACGCTCAAACAGGTAGACTAAACCAAACCTAAATGCACATAGGCAGATCTCACTGCCACAGCTCGGAACGGATAATGGCGATCGTCTGCTGCAAATATGTCCGGATAATCACTGTTTCAACTAAACACCAGCCTTAGGAATAAGTAAAAATGTCGTCTGGCGTGGTGACCCCCACAATCGACTCAAGCGGACCACACTCCGATCAGTTATTGTTGGAGATGATCGATAGAAGACTATCGCTAATTCTGGAGTACATGTTTAAACTCAGACCATGCTTTAGTTCAAGCACGTAATTGTCTGCATCTTAATGGATGCAGAAAAGCCACAGAAAGAAAACCTGTTATAGTTTAGCATAATGATGAAAAGGTTAAGAACATGATTCAGGAACAACTAGAACAGGAGCTAGTCAACCACGAAAGTGATAATATCTTAAAAGCCGTGGAAACAGCAGGTGCATCCACTCTTCGTTTTTCAGACGAATTCTGATCTAACGAATCCCATACAAATGGTTTGTTTTAATTTCACTAATTTATATTTTTTCTCGAATCGTATCTTTGATGGCTAATCTTTTCTATTACCGTTTATGCTGTTTCTTACTACCTCTACCATTCTGGAATTTGATCTGAAAATTTCATCTTTGTGCTAATGGGATATGGTAACTTGAACAGATGTATATACGTACCAGAGTCAACGTTGTAACTAACTAATTGAAGAAAGGGACAGTGTTTTCTAATGAACGTAAATGAAACACGACTGAAGGTGGTTACAGGTTCTGGATCCCCTTTTTATTCTACAATTGTGTTTGATGAACGGTCTTAATCTTTTAGTGGTGTTGTATTCGTTAAGCTAAATGTCTTGATTGCAAGGCTTTCATCATCATCCTGAGCATCAACAGAGCCTACTCCTCAACCTCTTTATTAACTGTAGCTGAACCCACATAACTATGTAGCTTCGGATAACAAAACACAACCTCGTTAATACTGAAAACTACAGCACTCATAAAAAACAGGTCGATCTAGGAAAAAAGAAGGGAATTTCTAGGATGTTGGAGATTTTATGGAATTTAGTGTCCATTTCGATTGTGATCAGTTTTAATGCAAGTCTTTTAACTAATAACTGAGAACACATCACTAGCTGGCAAAACTTGGTTTGTGGATAAACGGTAGAGTGTATTAAAAACAGTGGCTTTAAGGATATTTTCCCCAGACAACCTAATGATTTGACTCCCGATGACTCTAGCTACCTGAATTCGAGTATCAATGCAAGAGGTAATATAACGCAAAATAATCCTCAACCGAACTTGTACAGTGCTCTCAACTATCGAGAAGACAAAAGAATTTCGAAAGTTTATTACTTCTTTAACCGACGTTAATACAGAAAAAAAGTTCAAGATCTTTATCTCCTTGAGATTTGGGCAAACAGGTAGCAAGTTACGTAAGTCCTGATTCAGTATTGTGCCATGGTTTAAATGCTCAAGATAGGGATAATTAAACAGCCTATTTCTGGATGATTTCATTAAAATGTTTGGGAAATATGGGATTTTCCAACATAGTCAATTTCTATTGCAGATTGGACGATTTACTACAGGGATCAAAAATACGAAAGAAAGAAATCGATGGACTAGATGCCATGAGTCAACATCGATTGCAATGGTACCCTTATATGCAGTATGAAGTATTCTCTTCACTCAATAATCCCCAGTGTGGAGGAATGAGAGAAAGAAACTAGAAAAAAGATTGATTTGTCTGGTACCTGATTTATGTCATTTTTAATAACAATTTCATGGACTAAAAAATCATACGTGGAAACTTACTTTTTTATTACTTGTGCCTCCAGGCGCCCACGGACACCTACCTCTTTCTTTGATATATTAGCAAGACCTGGATAATGTCTCCTAGCTTTTTTCTTAATTTCTTCATCTAGTTCTGAGTAAAAATAACCGGAAAACGAAATTATATACATAAATACTTTGATTGACAACTGAGGAGGTATAATAACAATGAAAGTATCCACCAATGTTTTTAAACTCTACAATGGCTCCAGAGACAAAAAGTGCAGCTGGAGTTAATTATCCTCTTTAACAATAGCAAAAATACGATAAGTGTCCTTATTAATTATGATAGAATATGAAATTAAACGCAAAAAAAACAATAATCTCAATGGTATGGAAACAATATTGTTCAAGTCGATTATTCTTTGTTTAATAAATTCCCTCAGCTGATTGAAAGTATATTTTGTACAAACTAAGTGCCGTTAAAAATGATGGTCTATTTAAGTCAGTTGCAAATGTAATCACACGTCGTGCATAGTCTAATAGTGATGTACACACTTCAGGCAGGCTATTGAGTAAAAAAACTAAGAATGAAGAAGGAAGTTTATTGGAATGAACGAAATCAAACGCCAAAGCACTCATATACACGTATTTATTCAATAAAAATTAAGTAAGTTTTTGGACAAGAACAGGAACTTGTCATAAATTTTTAATTAGCTGAACACAGCCTCATTTGTATCAGTTTATGGTCAAACTCGCAGTCACTCGGAATAGACTGACGTGCGTCAACGGGTTGTAAGGATCCTGTAGGAATTCAGCGATTATAAGTGGGATGTTTCACGAAGCCGCAAGTGAATTTACTCGCCATTTTCATGTTATCATACAAATGCAACCAACGCTCATCCAACTGATTAGTGCTGTCTCGGCTCTAGTGCTTAGTGGAACACCAACGCCAGCAAAGCCAGATGGACATGCCACAGAGTCTCCGGATGAACGCACGTGAAACAAGCTTTCCGAAGCGACAGATGGAGAGAGAATTTATAGTACTTCACTACAGTCTTGAATAGACAACAGACATCGATGTTGAGACTTTCTAAGGAAATAACCAACTCTATCTGTTGTTCGATCTGCATTAGTGTGAGAACGTTGAAGGAAGCCAGTTTGAATGGCATACGTAGTTTCAGGATGATTGTTTCAGTATTCGTAGTCGGCGGTATCATTCAACTTTCGACCAGTCAGTGACTCGAAATCGTTGAGATAGGATAGGGTTTCCACTATAGGCGAGCTACTGTATAATTTAAAAAATAAAGGAATACATAAAATAAATGCGAGTTGACAAGTAACGCAATATAAACTAACAACGAATGGTACCGAATATTTGTGAGAATGAGGATTGAAGCAGGCATATGTTTTTTGAGTTGTATTTGTGATTAATTTTGTGAGAGGGCTGGTATACTACTCATGTGTCTAAACCGAAGTAGGTTGTTTTCTTTCGGACCAGTCTATGATCATTTAACTTTGAGGCATAATCTACAAGGCATTAATGCAGCGTTATGATATGTGGTCTTCCCTTAGTTGGTGACCGGAAATGTTATCATGCTTCAAAGAGGAAAAATGTATTTGTTTAATCTCAGCGAAAGAATTTGAAGTAAATCCAACGTTTTGCCTGGTAATCTGGTCCAAGCTTTTTCAACGAATATATAACCAAACAACATCATTATCGAATATAAATAGCTTATCATGCTTCATTTGTTTTCTCTGGATTATGTAAGATATGGGCACCACTGATTTGGAATCACGGCTTCCTAACTCCTCTAGGTCGATCATCCGTACCCACCAACCCGGTTAAAGCGCTGAAAATACAAAAATACTGTGTAGTGAGGATTTGTTATATATGGTAATGCATCTTGTGTTATCAGAAGTGTTAAAATCGAAACAGAACTGATGTCACTTGAATAAGGTAACGAATCACATAGCAGATGAACATTTATTTTAGATTTAAAAACTAGAGACTATAACAAACACACTTATTTGTGTACAGATTTACTTGCACGCCGAGAAAGTACTAATGAAAAGACCTGACGAGAACATAAATCACGGTCAAGCTACCTACTAAACAGATCCCGACGATTACGAACAGAGATAGCAAACCCTTAAAATATCTACGCATACTTATTCAGACGAAATGGGAGAGATGTTATAAAAAAGATCAAGCGTGGGATCGTGAATCGATTCAGTGTGACATTCGTTAACTAATCATCGAAGTAAGTAAATCTTTATATACATGAGTGTACCCAGATATTATTCTGAAGTTTAATATTTGGCGGTTACATTAATCTCCATCTGCCGTTAGTATTTGTGTTCTTCCTTACATCGTGCGATATCAGTTCTGCTTCAGTTATAACACTAAACAAGCTAAATAAAGTTCTGAAAATGATATGACCACTTTTATTTTGAAAATTAAAGGTTGGTTAGCCAATTGTTATAAACGCTGTATAGTAAATGATTAAATAAATTTTGGTTGATAATTTAGTTTTGTAGCTCTGTTGGTTGAAATCTATATCATTAATTTGGCGACAGTAGTTCTAATCAGATTGTGCTTCAAGGTTTTTTCTATATGTTACCTTTATCAACTGTCAGTAATCAAGACAAATGTAATGTTTTACTGCTTTATCAAGATACATTCACACATAACTATAATAATAAGCAAATAAATAAATTTATTATTATTATTGTTATTGCTATTATTATTATTATTATTATTATTATTATTATTATTATTATTATTATTATTATTATTATTATTATCTATATGCATGCCGTATTTCAAGTACTCCCAGTTGAGTTAAAATATTTGCAGTTGTTTCGTTGTTTTTAAAAGAAAAACAAAAATCATAATATAAATTTTTTATAGCATTTTCACTTCTAATCATGTACGTATTTCACAAAGCTTCCTTTGTGTTGTTTGGTAGAATTATCCAATCCATTGTTTCACTTTGATAGGTACTCCTTCTATCTCTAGTGATGACAGTGATTTTGAAGAGGTAGTCAGCACTACGTCAAATACTGGTAAATCACTATGTTACCCAAGTTCATTACACGAAAATTTATCATGCAGAAGAATAGAATCTATTAACTCTAGAAGTCTGTCCGTTGTTAGTAGTGATCTCAACCGACAGATGGTCCAGTTAACAAATGAAGATCAACCGAAGTAATTTTTCTAAAATATTAATTGATTTTTATGATTGAAAACATCCCCTTATATTATATTTCATTAATCGAAAATATCAGCTTGTTATTCATTCGTATGAAATTATGATTTTGTTCCTCAAAATTCTTGCTTGTTTTTATTCGCTCATTTCTTTTACTTTTATAATGTCTGTAACGACAAAGCAGACGATTTATTGCTAATGAGTTGTACTCTCGATAGGTCGGACGCCTTACAAGTGTATAGAACTTCAATGTTGAAAAGTAACATAATATTCCATTCGATTGTTTTTTACTTAAAATGATTGGTCGGATTAAGATACTGTTAGATTGGAGCGGATATTTTGGAAAGGTAAACCTTTCAGAAATGTTATACGGTAAATTATGGTGTATATTTTTGCTGTGTAATTGCTGAATATTTGGTTTATGGTATTTTTATATTGTCCTTATTACAAACTAACTTACTCGGCATCGATGTATGCTTTACCGTTTTAAAAGCATCGTTAATCAGTTTTATAACTATTTCTCGGTTTTATATCATATGACTTGTGTACAAGCTGTAACTTCTTATTTATGGTGCGTTATGATCTTGTAGCTAATATATATGGTTCCATAGGTTTTTGGGTTCTAATAATAGAAGGTGGATAGGTTTGCTGTCATTGTGTTCTGACTGGCTACTGGGATCCGGAAAAACTACTTTGGATCAATAGGAATTAGGATTTTTAGTCATTGTGAGCGGTTAGTTTTCTTATTGATTAAATAGCTCATTGTTGTGATGGGCTTAAGTGAACTCTAATAAGTTTGTGTATATGCAAATGACTTTACATAATAATAATGATAATTCGTGTTGGGGACGATAGATCCCCAAAAACTCATAGTTTGTAATTTATCTTGTGGAGCTTGTATGCAGATGTATATGTGGGCATTTCTTACCACCCACGCACATAGTTGATTGACGAATTTATCGATTAAATGTTTAAATATTTCGATGGCAGTCAATTGACGAACTATCGATTAAATGTTTAAAAGCTCCATGACAATATCGATGTATATATATTTGTATATATACGTTTTAAGATTGTCTTGTAAAAGGTTTGCTGGTTTTCTGGTGGTTGCAGAATATACTTTCATTCTAAGCTTGGTCTTCTCACTCTAGTTAGCTGGGGCTGGGACGTGTCAATAGATAGCTTACTGGTCGTTGGTCACTGAATCTCGTTCTCGTTCGCAACTACGTAAACCCGTGATCTCTCTCTCTTCCAAAACCTAACAATTGGCGACGGTGGTTCGGAAACATGGATTCTTCCAAACTTGAATTATTACTCGAGCAGCAGATGAAACTTATTCAGATGTTAACAGATACAAAGCTTACGTCTAATACTCAACCAAGCAGTTCTAATCCTACCACTACCGCACCATCAGTGGATGGTATCGCTAACAGTATCCGAGTTTCATTACGATCCGGAATCCAATGTCACATTTGATATGTGGTTTCGACGTTACGAAGACTTATTCAAATTTGACTTTGCTAACCAGGATGATGCTTGGAAGGTCCGCTTGCTGCTTCGAAAGTTGGGTCCTAGTGAACTAGACAGGTATTGCTACCTAATTTTGCCTCTAAACCCACGCGATCACTCATTATCGGACACTGTTCAGTCACTGAGCCAACAATTTGGAGACAACTCCTCATTATTCAATGCGCGCTATCGATGTTTGAAGCTCACTATGAACGAAGATGCTGATTTTCTCACACACGTAGGTATCGTCAACCGAGAATGCGAACGCTTCCGGTTGAAGTCGCTTACTGAAGACCAATTTAAAGCGCTCATTCTCATCTGCAGCCTTCAATCTCAGAAGTTCAGTGACATTAGAACACGTTTGCTAAGTCGTTTGGACCAAGACCCAAAACTAACACTTAAAGATATTGCAAACGAATATCAACGCCTAATCAATCTACAGCGTGACACTACGATGGTCCAGCGTGGTGGTTCAGACCGTACTGAAGTTCATGTAGTCCAACAACCACCCAACTCGCATAAAACTGCCCTAGCGACATCTAGTTCAGGTCAACAGAAAAAACAAATCCTCCTGCCCCATGCTGGCACTGCGGTGCATGGCATTTTATTCGACACTGCCCATATAAACAACATCGGTGCAGGAAATGTAATGCGGTGGGTCATAAAGATGGTTTTTGTCGAAACAAGAAGCCGAGCAGTTCCAGAAGTACCAGAAAGCCTACGCCTAGATCCAACACAAATTCATTGAGTCTAATAGCAAGCTGTCAGAACTCAACCCCAGGTGAGAGGAAATTTATTACCCTTAATATTAATGGGCACCCGTTCAGATTTCAAATAGACACTGCATCTGACGTAACAATTCTCTCACGAAAATATTGGATCAGAATGGGAAGACCACGCACGATGCCGACAAAACAGAAACCTCGAACTGCATGCGGTAATTATCTACGTTTGTTGGGACAACTAGATTGTAAAGTGTCTTTTCACGAGTATGTTACATCACACCAGCTGATCTTAATCTACTTGGGTTAGACTGATTTGGCTGACGTTCCGTTGAGCACCGTATGCCATCTGGTGAAACAACCTCATGAACCTGAAGCATATTCAAAAGAACTAATGACGGAGTTTTAAACCATTTTCCAGCCTGTATTGGGTCAGTGTACTGCTATGAAAGCAACACTTCAGTTGAAACCTGGAGCTAAACCTGTCTTCCGTCCAAAGAGACCAGTGCCGTACGCAGCATTATCGAAAGTTGACGAAGGACTTAACCGCCTTCAACTACAGGGAGTTATTACACCTGTTTCTTATTCTGCCTGGGCAGCACCCATTGTGATTATTAAGAAGGCTAATTGCACAATCCGAATATGCGCAGATTTTTCCACAGGTTTTAACGCAGCTCTCGAACAGCATCATTACCCACTGCCAGTCCCTGCAGATTTGTTCACGATGTTAAATGTTGGGAAGTTCTTTGCAAAGCTGGATCTCGCTGATGCCTATCTACAAGTGGAAGTAGCCGAAGATTCGAGAGAGTCACTTACCATAAATACTCATCGTGGCTTTTTTCAGTACAATCGCCTACCATATGGTGTTAAAACAGCTCCATCTATTTTTCAGCAACTAATGGATACCATTCTATCGGGTATCCCGGGGGTTGCAACTTATCTCGATGATATCTTAATTGTGGCCACATCGTTAGAACAGCTTCGGGAACGCACGACAGCTGTACTACAACGCGTCAGCGATAACGGATTCAGATTACGCCCAGAAAAATGCCAGTTTTTCTTGAAGTCAGTTAAATACTTGGGATTCATCTTTGATGCTGCAGGTCGCAGACCAGATCCTGAAAACATCCGAGCTATAAAATTGATGCCGACTCCCACTAATATCTCTGATCTACGATCATTCTTGGGATTAATTAGCTACTACTCAGCTTTTGTTCCGTCGATGCATAACATACGCGCCCCGCTAAATCATCTTCTGAATAAGAACACTTGCTGGAACTAGGCAAAAGAATGTGAAGCTGCATTTTGCAAGCTGAAAGCTGTTATAAGCTCTGAACTATTACTGACACACTACGATCCGTCTATGCCTATCATTGTCGCTGCAGGCGCTTCAGCTTTTGGACTCGGTGCTGTCATTTCTCATCAGTTCCCCGACGCAACAGAGAAAGCAATTATGCATGCATCTCGCATATTAACCGCAGCGGAAAGAAAATACAGTCAAATAGAGAAAGAGGCTCTTGCCCTTGTGTTTGCAGTACGCCGTTTCCATAAATTCTTGTATGGTCGAAGATTTACTCTTCTCACGGATCACAAGCCTCTTCTCACAATTTTCGGTTCGAAATCTGGTGTACCAGCTCATTCTGAAAACCGTCTCCAGCGATGGGCTTTGATACTTTTGGGTTATGATTTTGACATCCAGTACCGGCGCACTCAACAGTTTGGTCAGGCGGACGCCTTATCACGACTTATCAGCAAACACTATACGGCGGACGAAGATGCAGTTATTGCCTCCCTAATGACAGAGGACCACGCGCAATGTTATCTGACAACCGCTATTCGTGCCTTGCCAGTCACCGCAGCTGAAATACAATCAGCATCCAAGAACGACTCCATCATAAAGAGAGCGATGAAGTACGTCACCAACGGCCGTCCGCCAACTGGACTTGATGGTGACTTGAAGCAGCTTTACCACCGTCGGGACTCATTATGTGTCGTAAATGAATGCTTGATGTTTGGAGATAGAGTAGTGGTACCAGAGTCCCTTAGACCAAGGGTGCTAAAGCAATTCCACACTGGTCATCCGGGTATAAAACGAATGAAATCCATCGCCAGAAGCTATACTTATTGGCCCCTCATGGACCAACATATCGTGGATTTAGTAGGCAAGTGCACACAATGTCAGCAAGTGGCCAAGTGTAACGCGAGAATACTGCCGGTCCCATGGCCACAGCCTGAGTATCCATGGTCCAGGATACATGTCGATTTCGCAGGCCCAATTAATGGAATCACCTACTTAGTCGTTGTTGATGCCTTTTCGAAATGGCCAGAAATCGTTCCCGTCATGCCACCAACGACAACCCAAATGATGAAACTTTTGACAGACATGTTCTCCCGCAACGGATTACCGGATATAATTGTATCCGACAACAGTTCGCAGTTCACTTCAAGAATTTTGCAAACGCCTATCGATCAAGCATTTCCGCTCTCCACCTTACCACTCACAGTCAAATGGCCAAGCAGAAAGATTTGTGGATACATTCAAGAGAGCTCTAATGAAATCGAAAGGGGAGGGGACACCAGTGGAAACACTGCAGAATTTCCTGTTTGTTTACCGAACAACACCTAGTGATATGCTTCCACAGCAGAAGTCCCCGGCAGAGATCCTAATGGGAAGGAAATTGAGGACGATCCACAGTCTGATGTGCCCAAGAACCACACCACCACCTCAGACCAGATCTCACAAGCTGCAAGCATACGAGGTTGGATGCCCGGTGTTCGCTCGAGACTATAGAGCGAACCATGGTCCTTGGATCGAAGCATGTGTGGTTGGAAGATTAGGCCAAGTTATGTACGAGGTAAAGGTGGGAAGAGATACATGGACTAGACACAGAAACCAACTGCGGAAGCGGATAACGCCAGACCGCCTATCAACAGAAGCAAATCTCCCTCTTGACATCCTGCTTGATACCTTCAACGTACCAGCAGCCCCACCACGAGAAGAAGCTCAACAAGAAGCTGATCTCCGTTCCAGAAGGTGGCCTCCCAGACAACGGCGAGCAACTGACAGGATGCAAGTCGACCCTAGAAAAGTGCGCTACTAAAAAGGGGAGGAGTTTTGGGGACGATAGATCCCCAAAAACTCATAGTTTGTAATTTATCTTGTGGAGCTTGTATGCAGATGTATATGTGGGCATTTCTTACCACCCACGCACATAGTTGATTGACGAATTTATCGATTAAATGTTTAAATATTTCGATGGCAGTCAATTGACGAACTATCGATTAAATGTTTAAAAGCTCCATGACAATATCGATGTATATATATTTGTATATATACGTTTTAAGATTGTCTTGTAAAAGGTTTGCTGGTTTTCTGGTGGTTGCAGAATATACTTTCATTCTAAGCTTGGTCTTCTCACTCTAGTTAGCTGGGGCTGGGACGTGTCAATAGATAGCTTACTGGTTGTTGGTCACTGAATCTCGTTCTCGTTCGCAACTACGTAAACCCGTGATCTCTCTCTTCCAAAACCTAACTATTCGTTTACTCAATCTTCACTCTATATAAATTTTAAATTTTACTTCAAGGTTTCATATTATATAATATGTCCTAACTCCAACTTTCCGACCGGTCCCGGCATCGGCAAATTATGCACGACGTGGAATTCTGTGGGACGACATTCGTAGAACATGTCCAATCCACTGAAGTCGGTGTTTCAAGATGGTGACACCAATTGGATTATCGTCTCTGTGCCCGAATACACGATGTCGAACCTCTGCATTACTAACATGGTGTTGCCACTGGATGTCAGCAATCCTTCGGAGACAACGATGATCAAACAAAGAGAGTCGTCTAACATCCTAAACTAGGAAAGGCCAGGTTTCACAAGCACAGAGTAGAACTGCTCCCATCGACGCGTTGTAGATCCGACCTTTTACAGCCAGGCTGACATCACGAAGGCGCCAAAGGTGGTCCATATTGGCATAAGCCTCTCTGGTTCTCACTGTACGTGCATCTATCTCATCACTCATGCCACCACCAGCACTTATGCAGCTACCCAGATACATGAACTTCTCGACTACTTCTATCTGCTCACTATCCAAGGTGAGTACATGATCAGGGGCATACCAGTCCTGTAAAAGTACTTCACATTTCGAAGGTGCAAAGCACATGCCATACCAACGGACACGAATTTTCAACTGACTAAGTGCGGATTGCATGGCTCGGGCATTATCACACAGTAAGACAATACCATCGTCATATTCCAGGTCGAGAAGTCTTTCTCCAGACAACAGATCCACACCACCATTACTTACATCTATCAGAGCTGTTTCCAGAATGTCATCGATAGCAAAGTTGAAGAGGAATGGTAAGATTGAGCAACCCTGCCTAACCCCGCTGCTTGAATGGAACAATAAAGAAAGGTGATTGTATGTCCTCCCTCTGCTTGAGGTGTTTGTATATAGAGCACACCCTTCCTCAATAAACAGTCGCAGATGACAGTCCTGTCCAACGAATCGAAGGCGGCCCTAATGTCACTATGGTTGTTGGCTTGTGATAAGTATGACGGTGTTCTAACATTTGGAGGAGTGTGAAGATATGATCAATACATCCTCAGCCAGAACAAAAACCAGTCTGCTCCCCACGAGTCAATCTTTCCAGGGTTTTGAACAATCTACGAAGTACGACGGAAGCTAATAGTTTGGACGTAATCGGAAGTAGACCTATCCTCCGATAGTTGTTACAGAAACGACGTGAATTCTTCTTGAAGATAGGGACAACTAACGATTTATTCAATGATGTTGGAATACTCTCTCGCTCTCTAATTGCCAGACATTTGTAAACAACTCATTCAGTTCCTTAACCAGAAAGTCACCACCATCTTTGGTGGTGAACCTTACTGACAAAATGCCTATATACTAATATGACTGGATGAAAAGTCAAAATTACATTGATTTATTCGTTATGATTTTTATTCAACATTAATTCCGTTTTAATCCAATGTAATGATTATTCAGTATAGTATTTGTTTCTATTTTCCCATATGACATTTTATCGTGTATAATATACAATGTTCTTGTATTTTAATGCACATGAACTATTCTCGGTATATGATTTGTTATAACTGGGTTTTTTTATATATGTTATTTTATTCTAATTATTAATCAAAAATGGGTATATAATTCAATATATAAATGAGTGTATTTTCGCCTAGGGTCGTCATGATTGTTCGTGCTTCTGGCTGGTTGTGGAATATATTTCCTTCTTCTGAACTTGAACTTTTCTCTCTAGTTAGCTGGGCAGGGACGCGTCAGAATAGCTACCATATCTGTCATTGTGTCACAGAGTCTTTGTTGGTTCACAGATTAGGTGAACTCGTAATCTCTTCAAACACAGCATATACAGATATAAATGTTTTTAATTTGTACCATACTGTCAGTCGGATCTGTCTAAAACGTTTGGAGCATTCGTAGCAGTGAATCCACATTACAAATTTATAGTATATGTATTACTTACTTACCCATTGTAGAGGAGCGTTGCCTTCCCACCAGGATTCTCCATCGAACTCTGTCCTAGACAATCCTTTCCAGCTGCTATTCATCTTTTTGATGTCCGCTTCTAGTTGTCGACGTTTTGTGTTCTTTGGTCTTCCTCTCTTTCGTTTCCCTTCTGGATTCCAAGTTAGCGCTTGCTTCGTGATGCAGTTTGATGATTTCCGTAATGTATGTCCTATTCACTCCCAGCATCTCTTCCTAATTTCCTCTTCAGATAGAACCTGGTTTGTTCTTTCCCACAGTATGCTGTTGCTGATTGTATCCGATCAACAGACACCGAGTATCTTACGTAGACAACTGTTTATAAATACTTGTATGTTTTTGACGATGGTTGTAGTAGTTGTCGAAATTTCAGCTCCGTACAGTAGAACTGCCTGGGCGTTCGTATTGAAGATTCTGACTTTGATGTTGGTTGACGGTTGTTTTGAGTTTCATATGTTCTCTAATCGAGAGAATGCTGGCCTTGTTTTGCCAACCCGTGCTTCCACATCCGTTTATTAATGATGCTGCCCGGATACGTGAAAGGCTCCAACTCTTCCAGAGCTTCTCCATCAAGTGTGATTGCGTTAGTGCTCTCCGTGTTGTAATTGAGGATCTTGGTTTATTACTTGTGTGTGTTGAGGCCTATTGATGCAGATGCTTCTACCACACTGGTTGTCTTGATCTGCATTTGTTCATGTGTATGAGATAGAAGAGCCAGATCATCTGTAAAGTCCAAATCGTCTAGTCGTATTTAAGCTATCCGTTATATTCCATGTTTCCCCTCAGATGTGGAGGTCTTCATAATCCATTCAACCACCAGAAGAAGGAAAAAGAGGGAGAGTAAGCAGCCTTGTCTGACTCCGGTCTTCATTTGAAATGCGTACAGTGACGAGTCACATTCAATCGGTAGGGATCCATTCCTTATGATGATGCTTTCTGCGGCACAAAACATTCTGACACGTTAAAGTTAGTGCTTCTTTGATCCCTTTTCAAATATCCTCCAATGTAATTTCTTCTTTGAGTAGATCCTGTAAGGCTTGGAACCTGTCGTTGTGAGTTATCTTGAATTCGTTGAGTTTGTCATTATCTCGAAGGAAGGCTTTATTGAACCTTTGTAAAGTTGATTGTCCAGTTGTCTATTGTTTCTTTAGCTTCAGTTTCATCTTGGCCACAACCAGGTGTTGATCTAAATCTATGTCGGCTCCTCTCCTGGTTCTCACGCCTTTCATTGATCTTCTGAAAAGAATTTTTAAGTGATTAGTTTTTTATATGAAATTAAATTCCCTTTATGTACTTTTTAAATATTATCATGGATGTGTAATTGATTGTTTATTGTATGAATTCTAGCGTGTGTGTTGTTCTTGGTCTTCTCAATAAAAAATTTTATCCATTTTTGTCTCTGTTGGTTATTACATCAGTTTTCACTAATCTCTTTTCGATCCTAAATCGTACGGCTTTATTATGATTTAAATATATTTATATTGGTAATGTTTAAACTATTTAGTATTTAGTTTGAGTTTTGGAGTGCTTTCCACAAAGTTTTTGTGGAATTTTGATTTTTCTCATCTACACAGTTACTTTTATCTATGTCCCTTAATCGCCTATATGGTATCATGAAATTGTTTTGAAATTTCTATCTTCTGCGTTTCAATAATAATTTTCTAGGTTTCAAAAACATGGGACCATTGTAAGCAGTCCAACACAAAACTTTGTTTCTTGCGATGTCACAACAAACCCTCATACTGCATCTTGGAGGGATAGCGAATCTGTTCATCGTTTTTGGAAACCCATTGATCCAGACGAATATAGCAGACCAAAAGAGTATCTTGATTCAGCTGTTTCATGGTTTTCAACGAATGATACTCAATGTAGTCCTCCAAATATTCATTCTGAATCTGCAAACACATTTGAATTTACGAAAAATGAGATCAAAGACACCGACTTCACGGGTATCTTTCTTGATTGACATAAATTTGTATTTATCATATTTAACCTCACGTGTATATTATCGTGTACATTTCATGGAAATTTCGCTACATTATCATCAAACAATAACAGTAAATCAGTTGATAATTACTTGTCTTCAAGCCACCCTTAGTTTATATTGATAACCATACTAGTCTGGCTTAAAACCCGTGACCTAATATTTAGAATTTGAATACTTTTGAAAACCGAGTCATAGACCTGTAAATCGTGCACTAAAGAACTATCTTTTGTTTTTTGTATCTCACATGAACACGTGACCCCAAATCAAACTCCAACTGTTTTTTCATAAGCCTAGAAACAGTTAGTAAGAATTTACAAATCTCTGTTGTTTTTCGGTGTAAGCAATTGACCTTTTACTATTTAATTTCTAATTTGAACTGCGGCTTGAGAATAATTTCCACAATAAGCACGACATTAAGCCTCGACTAATAAAACTTTAATTTTGGTTTCAGTTATTAAAGTCAGTTAATTTGTGATAGTGTAAGGCTTGGTATTTAAAGACACAGGTTGACCACATGGAAACTGTAGTAACGTGTTGGAAATTCAGTTATCCAAATTTTAGTGCCTAGACAGTTGGGAAATAGAATATAGCTAGTGTTCGTAAATTAATTTTCTGTGAGAATTACAAACCTACTGTTTTGGAGGTTTTCTGTGATTTGATTTGATGAAACTTCCAATTGTCAAAATTAGCGAATAGAATGCTAATCGGTAGGTGGACCTAATGATAATCACGAGATCGGATAATTGATTTAGGTCTTCGAATGATTGGAAATCAAAGACAAGTCCGATAACCAGATGAGTGGTTCTTCATGTAATAAATAACATGCTTATATACAAAATATGAACGCAATACACACATAATAAAATGTGATAAGCGACTGGAGAAAGTTAAGTCTTAACTTTTAGGTCTAATCTCTGGGCATTGTATCACGCAATCTGACAAATGGTTTATATGAATAAGCTGTATTACTAAATTAAATCAACCTGATTGTTTACACTTCTCTACATCTAACTGGATTTTGGTTTCTTGCTAACTAAATATTGTGCAGCTGTTTAAACTACTCTAAATTAGGCTTCTGCGTAGATAAACTATGAGAAGGCTGTCTACTCAAACACCACTGGTCGATTCAGAGAGTATGACAGGCTTTTATCAGAGTTGTCAACCTCGAGTGGTGTACGTCAAAGCTGCTCACTACCTCCCTTTTCATTTAATTACGTCATACATCTTCTACAAATCATCCTCTCATCTAAATTCGTAAGAATTGCTTTCCTACTAGTAGGTTCCCTTATCCACTTAGAATATGCGGATGACGTGGTCTTATTTGTTGAAGATGTCGATGTACTGCAGTTTTTTGAATGCCTTGAGCAACAGTGCAAGTATTTTTTTAGAGTGCATTTCTCTATATTTGATTGCGAAATTTTGCCTCGGGATCGATGTGCATCTGCCTTAAGCGATCGTAGGGCGCAAAGTATTTGATTATGTTGACGCCTTCACTTGTCTGGAAGTCTCATTAGCCTCAGTGGGTCGGTGTCCGACGTGTCTGTTGAGACAATTATGTGAGCAATGATAAGGTTAGGCAGAGTACACTGATATTAGTAAACTAAGTAGTGTTCATTTGATACTACTTATGGAAGTGATTAGTTGCTAGTATTGTTTATAAACCAAACTAGGAAACAACCTTTATTCTCTTAATAAATATAAAACTTTTTACATTAATATGTATTGGTTATTTGAATCTTTTCACTGAACCCAGTAGCTAAGTGAATAGCATTCGTCTTCCCATCCCACTATCCACATTATGCTTCAGTTCCTAGCTTCATATCATATTGCCCATTAATTTGTTTTGTACAGATTAATATCAATTATCAAAATATTTACATCAAAGTCTCGAAAAAATCATAATTATATCTTACCATATACCTTAACTTGAGTGAAGAAGCCAAAATCTAATAGGGATCTTTTCGTAAATAAAATAGTTTTATTGGGAGTTAATTAGTTATCTGGTATTGAGAATATAATATTTAAATACTAACACTTAGTAAGTTACTTTTAACGGATTTCATTTTTCAGACATGTTCTGAGAAACGAACGAAAATATGATGTGGTTCTTTTGACGAAACTTTTTAGTCTATTGTTTTTCAGTTGACAATTCTGTGTAGAACAGGCGAAATTCACCAATTCTATTCACTCGATCAGTGATTTTACACGTTTACAAGAGTCGACAAAAAAATATTTATCCGATTATTTTTATAAACTTGATGTGATTGATACTTTTTCTTTGTTCAATTCAGTAAATAATCTAATTTACTACTATTTGTGAATTTCACCTCAGTAGCTCCTCGACAACTGTTCTGTTGGGCTCCCTTGTTGTCTGGTTCATTATGCCATCGATGTGATTCAAGCGGTCGATGTCCTATACATGGCAGAATTGTTAAACGTGACAAAATAACTGGAAGACCGATTAGTATGAATGACCGAAAACTTATCCAAGCAGAAATGGAATCTAAAAGGTTGGCTAGACAAAAAAGTGAGTTTTCTTGTTTATTTGTGTAATTTCACACGAATTTTCTGTTACCCAAATTCATATGTTGAAGGGTGCTCTGTGAAAAACGTAATTTTATTAACATCGGTATCAATCTGCTGTCTTCGCTGTTTTGATCACATATTAAGTTGTTATTCACAAAACAAGCAGGGTTTTCAGTGAGATATTACTGTTCGTTTTTGAAATAATAAGCTGTGATCTAATTTTGTACATGTTAATATGAATTTAACAAATCGGTCCTGGCACAGCAGCTCGCCTATGGTAGAAACCCTGTTCTATCCAAGTTAAACGATCACAGACTGGTCCGAAAGAAAACCACCTACTTCGGTTTAGACACATAAGTAGTATACCAGCCCTCTCACAAAATTAATCACAAATATTCGGTACCATTCGTTGTTAGTTTATATTGCGTTACTTGTCAACTCGCATTTATTTTATGTATTCCTTTATTTTTTAAATTATACAGTAGCTCGCCTATAGTGGAAACCCTATCCTATCTCAACGATTTCGAGTCACTGACTGGTCGAAAGTTGAATGATACCGCCGACTACGAATACTGAAACAATCATCCTGAAACTACGTATGCCATTCAAACTGGCTTCCTTCAACGTTCTCACACTAATGCAGATCGAACAACAGATAGAGTTGGTTATTTCCTTAGAAAGTCTCAACATCGATGTCTGTTGTCTATTCAAGACTGTAGTGAAGTACTATAAATTCTCTCTCCATCTGTCGCTTCGGAAAGCTTGTTTCACGTGCGTTCATCCGGAGACTCTGTGGCATGTCCATCTGGCTTTGCTGGCGTTGGTGTTCCACTAAGCACTAGAGCCGAGACAGCACTAATCAGTTGGATGAGCGTTGGTTGCATTTGTATGATAACATGAAAATGGCGAGTAAATTCACTTGCGGCTTCGTGAAACATCCCACTTATAATCGCTGAATTCCTACAGGATCCTTACAACCCGTTGACGCACGTCAGTCTATTCCGAGTGACTGCGAGTTTGACCATAAACTGATACAAATGAGGCTGTGTTCAGCTAATTAAAAATTTATGACAAGTTCCTGTTCTTGTCCAAAAACTTACTTAATTTTTATTGAATAAATACGTGTATATGAGTGCTTTGGCGTTTGATTTCGTTCATTCCAATAAACTTCCTTCTTCATTCTTAGTTTTTTTACTCAATAGCCTGCCTGAAGTGTGTACATCACTATTAGACTATGCACGACGTGTGATTACATTTGCAACTGACTTAAATAGACCATCATTTTTAACGGCACTTAGTTTGTACAAAATATACTTTCAATCAGCTGAGGGAATTTATTAAACAAAGAATAATCGACTTGAACAATATTGTTTCCATACCATTGAGATTATTGTTTTTTTGCGTTTAATTTCATATTCTATCATAATTAATAAGGACACTTATCGTATTTTTGCTATTGTTAAAGAGGATAATTAACTCCAGCTGCACTTTTTGTCTCTGGAGCCATTGTAGAGTTTAAAAACATTGGTGGATACTTTCATTGTTATTATACCTCCTCAGTTGTCAATCAAAGTATTTATGTATATAATTTCGTTTTCCGGTTATTTTTACTCAGAACTAGATGAAGAAATTAAGAAAAAAGCTAGGAGACATTATCCAGGTCTTGCTAATATATCAAAGAAAGAGGTAGGTGTCCGTGGGCGCCTGGAGGCACAAGTAATAAAAAAGTAAGTTTCCACGTATGATTTTTTAGTCCATGAAATTGTTATTAAAAATGACATAAATCAGGTACCAGACAAATCAATCTTTTTTCTAGTTTCTTTCTCTCATTCCTCCACACTGGGGATTATTGAGTGAAGAGAATACTTCATACTGCATATAAGGGTACCATTGCAATCGATGTTGACTCATGGCATCTAGTCCATCGATTTCTTTCTTTCGTATTTTTGATCCCTGTAGTAAATCGTCCAATCTGCAATAGAAATTGACTATGTTGGAAAATCCCATATTTCCCAAACATTTTAATGAAATCATCCAGAAATAGGCTGTTTAATTATCCCTATCTTGAGCATTTAAACCATGGCACAATACTGAATCAGGACTTACGTAACTTGCTACCTGTTTGCCCAAATCTCAAGGAGATAAAGATCTTGAACTTTTTTTCTGTATTAACGTCGGTTAAAGAAGTAATAAACTTTCGAAATTCTTTTGTCTTCTCGATAGTTGAGAGCACTGTACAAGTTCGGTTGAGGATTATTTTGCGTTATATTACCTCTTGCATTGATACTCGAATTCAGGTAGCTAGAGTCATCGGGAGTCAAATCATTAGGTTGTCTGGGGAAAATATCCTTAAAGCCACTGTTTTTAATACACTCTACCGTTTATCCACAAACCAAGTTTTGCCAGCTAGTGATGTGTTCTCAGTTATTAGTTAAAAGACTTGCATTAAAACTGATCACAATCGAAATGGACACTAAATTCCATAAAATCTCCAACATCCTAGAAATTCCCTTCTTTTTTCCTAGATCGACCTGTTTTTTATGAGTGCTGTAGTTTTCAGTATTAACGAGGTTGTGTTTTGTTATCCGAAGCTACATAGTTATGTGGGTTCAGCTACAGTTAATAAAGAGGTTGAGGAGTAGGCTCTGTTGATGCTCAGGATGATGATGAAAGCCTTGCAATCAAGACATTTAGCTTAACGAATACAACACCACTAAAAGATTAAGACCGTTCATCAAACACAATTGTAGAATAAAAAGGGGATCCAGAACCTGTAACCACCTTCAGTCGTGTTTCATTTACGTTCATTAGAAAACACTGTCCCTTTCTTCAATTAGTTAGTTACAACGTTGACTCTGGTACGTATATACATCTGTTCAAGTTACCATATCCCATTAGCACAAAGATGAAATTTTCAGATCAAATTCCAGAATGGTAGAGGTAGTAAGAAACAGCATAAACGGTAATAGAAAAGATTAGCCATCAAAGATACGATTCGAGAAAAAATATAAATTAGTGAAATTAAAACAAACCATTTGTATGGGATTCGTTAGATCAGAATTCGTCTGAAAAACGAAGAGTGGATGCACCTGCTGTTTCCACGGCTTTTAAGATATTATCACTTTCGTGGTTGACTAGCTCCTGTTCTAGTTGTTCCTGAATCATGTTCTTAACCTTTTCATCATTATGCTAAACTATAACAGGTGTTCTTTCTGTGGCTTTTCTGCATCCATTAAGATGCAGACAATTACGTGCTTGAACTAAAGCATGGTCTGAGTTTAAACATGTACTCCAGAATTAGCGATAGTCTTCTATCGATCATCTCCAACAATAACTGATCGGAGTGTGGTCCGCTTGAGTCGATTGTGGGGGTCACCACGCCAGACGACATTTTTTACTTATTCCTAAGGCTGGTGTTTAGTTGAAACAGTGATTATCCGGACATATTTGCAGCAGACGATCGCCATTATCCGTTCCGAGCTGTGGCAGTGAGATCTGCCTATGTGCATTTAGGTTTGGTTTAGTCTACCTGTTTGAGCGTTAAAATCACCTTCCACCATAGCTTCTTATAAAATTCATCTGAACTGCAATCAGGCAGAGACAACGAAAGGGAAACGGTGTGTGTGTGTCACCATCTTTTCATGTTCTTATTGTTCCGTTTAGTCGGACAACTCGCATGCAACTGTCTGTAAGAATCCAGTCTAACAAATCTTGTTCTACTTCCGAACACAATGATTTACCTATACCAGCGAGGTCAACGGAAGTAGTAGTAAGATCCCCAGACACGCGAGGTGAAAATCGCACCGTCTATTTATTTTGAAGAGGTGAGGTGAAATGAATAATTGTATTTGGATCCTGTATGTGTGTTTCAGAGACGCTCCATGTAGTTTAGACACGCAGGAAGAGTAAGTCTTGTTAAAGATTATTAAAGATGAAGTAAGGATTTGATCGTGAACAAAACAATCTCGGAATGACGTCGGTCGTCATCTCCCGGCCACTCACACCGTAGATATTTCTTTTTTAGGGACCGGAGCCGAAATCTGGGTTAGTGCTAGTCTTGGCGACCTGGGAGCATGACCTCAGAGTTGTAGATACAACTGTTCGCTCACGGCCTTCTCATAAAACGTTCTTGGTGTGTTAAGACCTAAAGTAAACTGAGTTTCAAGCAATATAGCTCGGTTGGATCATCATCGTTCGGCATACTTATCTGGCTTTCCTGTTTCACTAAGCACTAGAGCCGAGACAGCACTAATTAATTGAGTCCTTATTACCAGTCCGTTATGTGCTGTTAGATTAGAAAGTTCCATCAAATTACGAAGACATCGGTTTGAAAAACAGGATGTGAGCTTGGCAGATATTGTAGTACTAGCCAGAGACTTGAATTCTTAGGTCGGATGTCTAGGCACAGAAGTGAGTCGTTTAGGTGGCCGATGGAGACTTGCAACTTTGAGTAGACTACAGCCTGTTTCTGGCTAGCATTCACTACCGGCACAGTCACCGCCGACGTGCTACCTGGCGGCCTCTTGCATCTGAAGCCTGGACTCAGATTGATCACATCGCGATCAACTATCGCTGGCGTGGTTGCGTACAAGAATGCTGCTCATTTTGGAGTACCTATCTGGATTCTGATCATGCCCTTTTTTACACTAATCTTGTATTGCGTTTCAGTTGCCAACAAATTCATCACTTCAAATGGGTCGACATCAGCAACTTGGTTGCAGCTTCTATTGCAACTAAATATCAAACCGAGCTAGGTCCAAGGCTAGCTACCATCCCACAGAAAAGTATAGATGAGCACTGGTTGTATTTGCATGATAACATGAAAATGGCGAGTAGATTCACTTGCGGCTTCGTGAAACATCCCACTTATAATCGCTGAATTCCTACAGAATCTTTACAACCCGTTGACGCACATCGGTCTACTCCGAGTGCTTGACAGTCTTATAAGGCTTTCTTTACATAAGTTTCTTAACGGGAAGAACCCTTACCAGTTTTATTTTCGTAACTATCTTGCTTGTCGTACTAGTTTCCACACACTCACATTCATTTAGGTTTGTTTTTGTTTCTTGTTATACACAACTTCGTTTTTCTATCTTCACAATCTGATTTTCATTGTGGTTAGATATATTTTATATTACCCTGCTGTAGAATTGATTTTATTTAGTTGAACACATGAATAAATTCTGTTATACTTGCAGGAAAACTTTACGGAAGCGTTCATGAATACTACATTAATCAGACAGAAATATTGAATGAGCACATTTTTCTGACAATTCTCATCAAGGGTGTAAAGAATAATTTTTCTATCACAATTTCTCACTTTGTATATATTACTTATAAAACACAAGTTTAAAATATGTTGGATAGTTCGTAGTAGGAAATGAATATGCTACTACTAGTGTGGTGTGCTACTTATATCGACACAAGTAGTATATGACGTTAGTCAGGAATAGAATGTCTGGCAGCAGGGGATCAAACATTTAAGAATGGAAACCGAATGCGATTTGCATTAAAATGCAAGAACAATGAAGTCTGAGACAATAGATGGACATTCTGCAAATTAAGCATTTACTATATGATTATTAGATTTTATTAACAAGTTCTGTAATTTTCTGTCAAATACATTCGATTGTCCCCCACTAGTGCTCTTGTTCACTACACTACTAACTCTTGTTATTTCTTCAGCGTTTATACCATAAACACGACAATCATTTCTCACAACCCACACGTATCTTCCCGTCATGCATTAGTACCTGACGCACCACCATACAGTTTGTTCGCTATTTAACAAGTCAACCGGTGGATATCGCATGACAAAATATGATTAAGTTTTATGTGTCCATGCTATGGTTACCATCTAAATATGATCAATTACTTACTAAACAGCAGAAAAGGGTTAAGAATATATAATTTAGCACTGAAGTTGTTAAACCGACGCTATTGTGTCAAGACTTTCACAAAACTGAATCATGTTGCCTACGTACCATTAGTCGTTAAGAGCAAAGACAGGAAACCCAAATTTTGGAAGCTGGAGTTGCCTCTAGGAGAGGTCCTGTTGATTTAGCTGCCAGTAAAAATGCATCCTCAAATCACCAGACATATCAGATATTTTTGGTAACTAATATTTAGTCAATTGTTCAAAAAAACCTAAATCGCTAGAAATAATAATTATGGTAACCAAACCTGTCTACTTTGAATAGGTTACTGGTTAACTAAGTTTAGTAGGACATTGTACTCAAAAAATACCTAAAATAAATTTGTGTTGTGAATAGAACCTCCGACAAATTGCGACGTTTTTGCTTTCCAATGTTGTGTGTACAGACATAAAAATGAAGGCACTTTGTGAAATAAAAGACAAATTTCGGTTTGAATTAAAAATAAAAATTGTATAAGGAGTGAGGTGATAGGGTCAGTATTATATCTTGTATAACATACTAAATAAAATATTGTGTTCGGTAATCAAATTAGAAGATAATGAACTCTAGTCTAAATGTAGTGGTGGTGGTTGTTCTGGAATAATTGAGGAAATCAGAGCTGCAAAGAACTGATAAGAAAGATTTGCTGCCAAACGTAGATTTGTAGTTATCCTCGAAAATCTCGATTCTTGTTCACCACGTAGGCTAGCGTTTGCTTGATCTCCTGTAGACTCCTGAGCAAGCTGGTTTTGCTGATTCTCCGATTGTTCACTTGCCTGTTGATAAAAAATCACATGTTTTACAATATCGTGTAGAAGAATTCAAGACGCGTGCATACACTACTAGCCAATCACAAATCTAAATCTCTATATCAGATAGTGGAATTTGGAAAAAACACTACCATGTGGTTTTTAAAATTGAAATGACTAAGAATTTGTTGGAGCTAATCATGTGAATATTTCTCCAGAAAACCAAAATCCGCAAACTCGACAAATTAATTTGATCCGATAATTAAGGATTGATTCGTTCGGTCAACAGAACAAATCCTGGGGTTTTGTATCGTAGATGTTCTCTGGGGAGCTGTTACAAATGATATTTGGTTTTTATAGCCACTTCCCGACCAATTGGTGAAAACGCTGCAAAAATTAAGTGGGATTTGCCATGAAAATAACGAAACCTGACTACATCAGATATAGGAAGCGGTCGTTTTCCAAACATCGACACTGATTTCCCGAATATAATGTTGGGGAAATATTGTTACAGAATTTATTTAACTGGGGGCTGATAGATTTTTCCTTGAAAATTTCTTATGTGTGTAAGTAGATTTGTAGGAAATTTCTAGTCGCTTACAAAATGGCTGGAAAGTTAGCGAGATGAAATTTCTAGGTGTCACGCACAGAAATCGTGAGATATTTCAATATTTCTACGCCCATTGCCTCATTTGTTATTCAGTAAATCACTGGCAAAGCTACAATGAACTGATGTATTGCGTTGTCCATTGCAGTACGGTAAAATAGGCTGTGGCTGGAGTGCCTAACACATATATCATTAATCACACTATATGGATAACCATGGTCTTATAAGACGATACACATATGTCAAACTAACCGACGTAATGAGCTTCCAGGATTCAGAATATTACTCGGAAGTAAAGATGGTCACTACATTCTTGTTCTTTATCATATTTTGTGATCTTATCTGTGTAATCTAAGCGTTAACTTTTGGGTAGAGCACTGTGGTGCTTCACTACACATTTGGAACAATTCCTAGGAGAACTATGACATTCTGATTGAAAGTATGTTATGTCAAGTCCAATGTATTTTGCTAAATTTAACAGTGAACTTTTGTTGTACAACTAATTCACTATTAATGACTTTGACATACATCCAAGTAGTTATTTGATTATACTTCTCTGGAGTAGCTTAATTGATTATTGCATGTTTCACCTAATTACGTAATATCCACCGAATAGAAGCTACCAACTATTCCAGTTGACATGTGTTTGATTATAGTGAACGAATCGTTGCCACTTGATTGTCCTTCACAGCGTTGGCTGCTTTTATTGCAATCTTGAATATAGATGTAGACAGTTTACTGAATCAACAATATTAAAAATAACAATAGTATTAGCTTTACTTAATGTTATTTGTTTAGTGCAACATGAAATTCTCAGTATACTTACTGGAGTGTTCAAATTGCTTTGTGTACCTTGCGGATTTTGTTGTGGTCGTCGTTGAGTCTGTACTATACGCTCTACAACAGCATATCTGCGGTAGATATTATACCTAGAATTAGAATATTTTCGAAATTATGCAAACGATAATTTAAACAGGATATTTTGATGTTTTACATGCTTCATTATTGGTTGTCGATTGGAAAACGGTTCCTTGGCATCCACTCGCCTAACTAGATAATTTAGCCAATCAATTCATCCGATAATAAGAACTCCAACCAAATTCGTTTAACGTCAATCTTTAGGGTTGTCTTACATTTCAAACGATCAGAATTAAGAACGAATACCGAATTAACCTGTATTCACAAAACAAATCCAATACTTAAGGTGATTGGCTGGCCCACTTCGAAAAAATACCAGTCGAAACCAAGCTTCGATAATTGGGACATTATTATAACATCAAGTGTGTCATCAGCTTGATGATAATTAAGGAATATTTGATTTGGTACTAAACCATTTCTACAGCACTCGAGATATGACACGAAAAATAACAATGGAAGTTACAGTAGAAATAGCATCAATTGATAGCCAAGTAACAAGACATTTTAGTCTTTAGAAATCATACGGTAAAATACTATGGGAAAAAATAGCTACATTAATTAAAATAGAAAACAACTCACATTTATAAGGGCCAATAGTGATCCTTTGATTTTGTGACACGTCAAAAAACGTTACAAATTAAAACTTAGTCGCAAACTTGAAAATAAATTCCAAATAGTAATTGCTAAACGTTTATATCACGAGTAATTACTGTCGGAACTATACTGGCTATGTGAATAGAGGCCAGTGAAATTTAAAATCTAGCTAGTGCATTAATAAATCAAATGTAAAGACCTTGAAACAAAGTGAATTAACACACCAGATGTCAAAGTTGACGATCATTACGTTCCAAAAGGAACACATTTTTAACTAGTTTCGGTATATTAATGAGGGCATCCAAAATATATACTAGTGTGATTTTGTGGGGCCTATATTTTACAACCAGACTAGATTTGTGGAGCAATTTATGGGGACATTTTGTGGATTGGAAACACTGCAATTTAACGGTAAGGAAGTGCAATTTGTTGGTACGGATATATTTGGAACTTCATGAACATGTTAAACGCATTATAATGCACAAACTGAAGACCATTTGAAGATGTACTTTAGTAATGCTACATTTGCCTTGGTGAGTTTGCTCCGTTTATTAAGATTTGTGGATGGTATTTCGATCATAGTACTCTTTTGAGAGCAAACGATTACTTCCATTTTATTCGTGTAGTAAAGATTAGTGAGCTTTTTCTTAAAACGCATTCAAATTTACGTTTGTGTCGTCAGCTGAAGTTTACTTCATTTTTTAAAAAAAGTACATAGAAAAATAAACTCCTGGAAGAGCCTACTAGCACCATCAGATTTTATGAATATAGTTAGCTGAGCAAATGCTTTTTAAAAGAAAAACTATGTGGATATACACCCCCAAGACATAACTTATGACAGAGGAAATCAATGTCTATCAGGAGGAATTTCAATCACACTAGCCACTAATGAATAATACAGACATTCAAGTGATAAAAACTCTGACTACTTCACCAATTATAACTATTTTATTTCACTATCTACTCTGAATAGCAAAGAACCGGGCTGATGTCTTATGACTTGCTACCTATCTTACCCCCAGGTCGAACCGAAAAGATGAACATTAGTATGCTTTTTTAATGACTTTTGAATGCAGAAGGTACGAATAAGTGTCTCCAAAGCATTGCTCATATGTGGTAGAGACAATGATTAGATAATGAGGTTAGGTGTATGACAGAAAGTTGATTGATCAGGCTATAAACCTCAATTAGTTAACAGTTGTGCTAGGTTTTACGTTAACCACGATTAACATCTTCGGTTTATACGGGACTATCATATCACTGCTTATTTTTGGTAGCGGCTTCGTGAAACATCCCACTTATAATCGCTGAATTCCTACAGAATCTTTACAACCCGTTGACGCACATCGGTCTACTCCGAGTGCTTGACAGTCTTATAAGGCTTTCTTTACATAAGTTTCTTAACGGGAAGAACCCTTACCAGTTTTATTTTCGTAACTATCTTGCTTGTCGTACTAGTTTCCACACACTCACATTCATTTAGGTTTGTTTTTGTTTCTTGTTATACACAACTTCGTTTTTCTATCTTCACAATCTGATTTTCATTGTGGTTAGATATATTTTATATTACCCTGCTGTAGAATTGATTTTATTTAGTTGAACACATGAATAAATTCTGTTATACTTGCAGGAAAACTTTACGGAAGCGTTCATGAATACTACATTAATCAGACAGAAATATTGAATGAGCACATTTTTCTGACAATTCTCATCAAGGGTGTAAAGAATAATTTTTCTATCACAATTTCTCACTTTGTATATATTACTTATAAAACACAAGTTTAAAATATGTTGGATAGTTCGTAGTAGGAAATGAATATGCTACTACTAGTGTGGTGTGCTACTTATATCGACACAAGTAGTATATGACGTTAGTCAGGAATAGAATGTCTGGCAGCAGGGGATCAAACATTTAAGAATGGAAACCGAATGCGATTTGCATTAAAATGCAAGAACAATGAAGTCTGAGACAATAGATGGACATTCTGCAAATTAAGCATTTACTATATGATTATTAGATTTTATTAACAAGTTCTGTAATTTTCTGTCAAATACATTCGATTGTCCCCCACTAGTGCTCTTGTTCACTACACTACTAACTCTTGTTATTTCTTCAGCGTTTATACCATAAACACGACAATCATTTCTCACAACCCACACGTATCTTCCCGTCATGCATTAGTACCTGACGCACCACCATACAGTTTGTTCGCTATTTAACAAGTCAACCGGTGGATATCGCATGACAAAATATGATTAAGTTTTATGTGTCCATGCTATGGTTACCATCTAAATATGATCAATTACTTACTAAACAGCAGAAAAGGGTTAAGAATATATAATTTAGCACTGAAGTTGTTAAACCGACGCTATTGTGTCAAGACTTTCACAAAACTGAATCATGTTGCCTACGTACCATTAGTCGTTAAGAGCAAAGACAGGAAACCCAAATTTTGGAAGCTGGAGTTGCCTCTAGGAGAGGTCCTGTTGATTTAGCTGCCAGTAAAAATGCATCCTCAAATCACCAGACATATCAGATATTTTTGGTAACTAATATTTAGTCAATTGTTCAAAAAAACCTAAATCGCTAGAAATAATAATTATGGTAACCAAACCTGTCTACTTTGAATAGGTTACTGGTTAACTAAGTTTAGTAGGACATTGTACTCAAAAAATACCTAAAATAAATTTGTGTTGTGAATAGAACCTCCGACAAATTGCGACGTTTTTGCTTTCCAATGTTGTGTGTACAGACATAAAAATGAAGGCACTTTGTGAAATAAAAGACAAATTTCGGTTTGAATTAAAAATAAAAATTGTATAAGGAGTGAGGTGATAGGGTCAGTATTATATCTTGTATAACATACTAAATAAAATATTGTGTTCGGTAATCAAATTAGAAGATAATGAACTCTAGTCTAAATGTAGTGGTGGTGGTTGTTCTGGAATAATTGAGGAAATCAGAGCTGCAAAGAACTGATAAGAAAGATTTGCTGCCAAACGTAGATTTGTAGTTATCCTCGAAAATCTCGATTCTTGTTCACCACGTAGGCTAGCGTTTGCTTGATCTCCTGTAGACTCCTGAGCAAGCTGGTTTTGCTGATTCTCCGATTGTTCACTTGCCTGTTGATAAAAAATCACATGTTTTACAATATCGTGTAGAAGAATTCAAGACGCGTGCATACACTACTAGCCAATCACAAATCTAAATCTCTATATCAGATAGTGGAATTTGGAAAAAACACTACCATGTGGTTTTTAAAATTGAAATGACTAAGAATTTGTTGGAGCTAATCATGTGAATATTTCTCCAGAAAACCAAAATCCGCAAACTCGACAAATTAATTTGATCCGATAATTAAGGATTGATTCGTTCGGTCAACAGAACAAATCCTGGGGTTTTGTATCGTAGATGTTCTCTGGGGAGCTGTTACAAATGATATTTGGTTTTTATAGCCACTTCCCGACCAATTGGTGAAAACGCTGCAAAAATTAAGTGGGATTTGCCATGAAAATAACGAAACCTGACTACATCAGATATAGGAAGCGGTCGTTTTCCAAACATCGACACTGATTTCCCGAATATAATGTTGGGGAAATATTGTTACAGAATTTATTTAACTGGGGGCTGATAGATTTTTCCTTGAAAATTTCTTATGTGTGTAAGTAGATTTGTAGGAAATTTCTAGTCGCTTACAAAATGGCTGGAAAGTTAGCGAGATGAAATTTCTAGGTGTCACGCACAGAAATCGTGAGATATTTCAATATTTCTACGCCCATTGCCTCATTTGTTATTCAGTAAATCACTGGCAAAGCTACAATGAACTGATGTATTGCGTTGTCCATTGCAGTACGGTAAAATAGGCTGTGGCTGGAGTGCCTAACACATATATCATTAATCACACTATATGGATAACCATGGTCTTATAAGACGATACACATATGTCAAACTAACCGACGTAATGAGCTTCCAGGATTCAGAATATTACTCGGAAGTAAAGATGGTCACTACATTCTTGTTCTTTATCATATTTTGTGATCTTATCTGTGTAATCTAAGCGTTAACTTTTGGGTAGAGCACTGTGGTGCTTCACTACACATTTGGAACAATTCCTAGGAGAACTATGACATTCTGATTGAAAGTATGTTATGTCAAGTCCAATGTATTTTGCTAAATTTAACAGTGAACTTTTGTTGTACAACTAATTCACTATTAATGACTTTGACATACATCCAAGTAGTTATTTGATTATACTTCTCTGGAGTAGCTTAATTGATTATTGCATGTTTCACCTAATTACGTAATATCCACCGAATAGAAGCTACCAACTATTCCAGTTGACATGTGTTTGATTATAGTGAACGAATCGTTGCCACTTGATTGTCCTTCACAGCGTTGGCTGCTTTTATTGCAATCTTGAATATAGATGTAGACAGTTTACTGAATCAACAATATTAAAAATAACAATAGTATTAGCTTTACTTAATGTTATTTGTTTAGTGCAACATGAAATTCTCAGTATACTTACTGGAGTGTTCAAATTGCTTTGTGTACCTTGCGGATTTTGTTGTGGTCGTCGTTGAGCCTGTACTATACGCTCTACAACAGCATATCTGCGGTAGATATTATACCTAGAATTAGAATATTTTCGAAATTATGCAAACGATAATTTAAACAGGATATTTTGATGTTTTACATGCTTCATTATTGGTTGTCGATTGGAAAACGGTTCCTTGGCATCCACTCGCCTAACTAGATAATTTAGCCAATCAATTCATCCGATAATAAGAACTCCAACCAAATTCGTTTAACGTCAATCTTTAGGGTTGTCTTACATTTCAAACGATCAGAATTAAGAACGAATACCGAATTAACCTGTATTCACAAAACAAATCCAATACTTAAGGTGATTGGCTGGCCCACTTCGAAAAAAATACCAGTCGAAACCAAGCTTCGATAATTGGGACATTATTATAACATCAAGTGTGTCATCAGCTTGATGATAATTAAGGAATATTTGATTTGGTACTAAACCATTTCTACAGCACTCGAGATATGACACGAAAAATAACAATGGAAGTTACAGTAGAAATAGCATCAATTGATAGCCAAGTAACAAGACATTTTAGTCTTTAGAAATCATACGGTAAAATACTATGGGAAAAAATAGCTACATTAATTAAAATAGAAAACAACTCACATTTATAAGGGCCAATAGTGATCCTTTGATTTTGTGACACGTCAAAAAACGTTACAAATTAAAACTTAGTCGCAAACTTGAAAATAAATTCCAAATAGTAATTGCTAAACGTTTATATCACGAGTAATTACTGTCGGAACTATACTGGCTATGTGAATAGAGGCCAGTGAAATTTAAAATCTAGCTAGTGCATTAATAAATCAAATGTAAAGACCTTGAAACAAAGTGAATTAACACACCAGATGTCAAAGTTGACGATCATTACGTTCCAAAAGGAACACATTTTTAACTAGTTTCGGTATATTAATGAGGGCATCCAAAATATATACTAGTGTGATTTTGTGGGGCCTATATTTTACAACCAGACTAGATTTGTGGAGCAATTTATGGGGACATTTTGTGGATTGGAAACACTGCAATTTAACGGTAAGGAAGTGCAATTTGTTGGTACGGATATATTTGGAACTTCATGAACATGTTAAACGCATTATAATGCACAAACTGAAGACCATTTGAAGATGTACTTTAGTAATGCTACATTTGCCTTGGTAAGTTTGCTCCGTTTATTAAGATTTGTGGATGGTATTTCGATCATAGTACTCTTTTGAGAGCAAACGATTACTTCCATTTTATTCGTGTAGTAAAGATTAGTGAGCTTTTTCTTAAAACGCATTCAAATTTACGTTTGTGTCGTCAGCTGAAGTTTACTTCATTTTTTAAAAAAAGTACATAGAAAAATAAACTCCTGGAAGAGCCTACTAGCACCATCAGATTTTATGAATATAGTTAGCTGAGCAAATGCTTTTTAAAAGAAAAACTATGTGGATATACACCCCCAAGACATAACTTATGACAGAGGAAATCAATGTCTATCAGGAGGAATTTCAATCACACTAGCCACTAATGAATAATACAGACATTCAAGTGATAAAAACTCTGACTACTTCACCAATTATAACTATTTTATTTCACTATCTACTCTGAATAGCAAAGAACCGGGCTGATGTCTTATGACTTGCTACCTATCTTACCCCCAGGTCGAACCGAAAAGATGAACATTAGTATGCTTTTTTAATGACTTTTGAATGCAGAAGGTACGAATAAGTGTCTCCAAAGCATTGCTCATATGTGGTAGAGACAATGATTAGATAATGAGGTTAGGTGTATGACAGAAAGTTGATTGATCAGGCTATAAACCTCAATTAGTTAACAGTTGTGCTAGGTTTTACGTTAACCACGATTAACATCTTCGGTTTATACGGGACTATCATATCACTGCTTATTTTTGGTAGCGGCTTCGTGAAACATCCCACTTATAATCGCTGAATTCCTACAGAATCTTTACAACCCGTTGACGCACATCGGTCTACTCCGAGTGCTTGACAGTCTTATAAGGCTTTCTTTACATAAGTTTCTTAACGGGAAGAACCCTTACCAGTTTTATTTTCGTAACTATCTTGCTTGTCGTACTAGTTTCCACACACTCACATTCATTTAGGTTTGTTTTTGTTTCTTGTTATACACAACTTCGTTTTTCTATCTTCACAATCTGATTTTCATTGTGGTTAGATATATTTTATATTACCCTGCTGTAGAATTGATTTTATTTAGTTGAACACATGAATAAATTCTGTTATACTTGCAGGAAAACTTTACGGAAGCGTTCATGAATACTACATTAATCAGACAGAAATATTGAATGAGCACATTTTTCTGACAATTCTCATCAAGGGTGTAAAGAATAATTTTTCTATCACAATTTCTCACTTTGTATATATTACTTATAAAACACAAGTTTAAAATATGTTGGATAGTTCGTAGTAGGAAATGAATATGCTACTACTAGTGTGGTGTGCTACTTATATCGACACAAGTAGTATATGACGTTAGTCAGGAATAGAATGTCTGGCAGCAGGGGATCAAACATTTAAGAATGGAAACCGAATGCGATTTGCATTAAAATGCAAGAACAATGAAGTCTGAGACAATAGATGGACATTCTGCAAATTAAGCATTTACTATATGATTATTAGATTTTATTAACAAGTTCTGTAATTTTCTGTCAAATACATTCGATTGTCCCCCACTAGTGCTCTTGTTCACTACACTACTAACTCTTGTTATTTCTTCAGCGTTTATACCATAAACACGACAATCATTTCTCACAACCCACACGTATCTTCCCGTCATGCATTAGTACCTGACGCACCACCATACAGTTTGTTCGCTATTTAACAAGTCAACCGGTGGATATCGCATGACAAAATATGATTAAGTTTTATGTGTCCATGCTATGGTTACCATCTAAATATGATCAATTACTTACTAAACAGCAGAAAAGGGTTAAGAATATATAATTTAGCACTGAAGTTGTTAAACCGACGCTATTGTGTCAAGACTTTCACAAAACTGAATCATGTTGCCTACGTACCATTAGTCGTTAAGAGCAAAGACAGGAAACCCAAATTTTGGAAGCTGGAGTTGCCTCTAGGAGAGGTCCTGTTGATTTAGCTGCCAGTAAAAATGCATCCTCAAATCACCAGACATATCAGATATTTTTGGTAACTAATATTTAGTCAATTGTTCAAAAAAACCTAAATCGCTAGAAATAATAATTATGGTAACCAAACCTGTCTACTTTGAATAGGTTACTGGTTAACTAAGTTTAGTAGGACATTGTACTCAAAAAATACCTAAAATAAATTTGTGTTGTGAATAGAACCTCCGACAAATTGCGACGTTTTTGCTTTCCAATGTTGTGTGTACAGACATAAAAATGAAGGCACTTTGTGAAATAAAAGACAAATTTCGGTTTGAATTAAAAATAAAAATTGTATAAGGAGTGAGGTGATAGGGTCAGTATTATATCTTGTATAACATACTAAATAAAATATTGTGTTCGGTAATCAAATTAGAAGATAATGAACTCTAGTCTAAATGTAGTGGTGGTGGTTGTTCTGGAATAATTGAGGAAATCAGAGCTGCAAAGAACTGATAAGAAAGATTTGCTGCCAAACGTAGATTTGTAGTTATCCTCGAAAATCTCGATTCTTGTTCACCACGTAGGCTAGCGTTTGCTTGATCTCCTGTAGACTCCTGAGCAAGCTGGTTTTGCTGATTCTCCGATTGTTCACTTGCCTGTTGATAAAAAATCACATGTTTTACAATATCGTGTAGAAGAATTCAAGACGCGTGCATACACTACTAGCCAATCACAAATCTAAATCTCTATATCAGATAGTGGAATTTGGAAAAAACACTACCATGTGGTTTTTAAAATTGAAATGACTAAGAATTTGTTGGAGCTAATCATGTGAATATTTCTCCAGAAAACCAAAATCCGCAAACTCGACAAATTAATTTGATCCGATAATTAAGGATTGATTCGTTCGGTCAACAGAACAAATCCTGGGGTTTTGTATCGTAGATGTTCTCTGGGGAGCTGTTACAAATGATATTTGGTTTTTATAGCCACTTCCCGACCAATTGGTGAAAACGCTGCAAAAATTAAGTGGGATTTGCCATGAAAATAACGAAACCTGACTACATCAGATATAGGAAGCGGTCGTTTTCCAAACATCGACACTGATTTCCCGAATATAATGTTGGGGAAATATTGTTACAGAATTTATTTAACTGGGGGCTGATAGATTTTTCCTTGAAAATTTCTTATGTGTGTAAGTAGATTTGTAGGAAATTTCTAGTCGCTTACAAAATGGCTGGAAAGTTAGCGAGATGAAATTTCTAGGTGTCACGCACAGAAATCGTGAGATATTTCAATATTTCTACGCCCATTGCCTCATTTGTTATTCAGTAAATCACTGTCAAAGCTACAATGAACTGATGTATTGCGTTGTCCATTGCAGTACGGTAAAATAGGCTGTGGCTGGAGTGCCTAACACATATATCATTAATCACACTATATGGATAACCATGGTCTTATAAGACGATACACATATGTCAAACTAACCGACGTAATGAGCTTCCAGGATTCAGAATATTACTCGGAAGTAAAGATGGTCACTACATTCTTGTTCTTTATCATATTTTGTGATCTTATCTGTGTAATCTAAGCGTTAACTTTTGGGTAGAGCACTGTGGTGCTTCACTACACATTTGGAACAATTCCTAGGAGAACTATGACATTCTGATTGAAAGTATGTTATGTCAAGTCCAATGTATTTTGCTAAATTTAACAGTGAACTTTTGTTGTACAACTAATTCACTATTAATGACTTTGACATACATCCAAGTAGTTATTTGATTATACTTCTCTGGAGTAGCTTAATTGATTATTGCATGTTTCACCTAATTACGTAATATCCACCGAATAGAAGCTACCAACTATTCCAGTTGACATGTGTTTGATTATAGTGAACGAATCGTTGCCACTTGATTGTCCTTCACAGCGTTGGCTGCTTTTATTGCAATCTTGAATATAGATGTAGACAGTTTACTGAATCAACAATATTAAAAATAACAATAGTATTAGCTTTACTTAATGTTATTTGTTTAGTGCAACATGAAATTCTCAGTATACTTACTGGAGTGTTCAAATTGCTTTGTGTACCTTGCGGATTTTGTTGTGGTCGTCGTTGAGCCTGTACTATACGCTCTACAACAGCATATCTGCGGTAGATATTATACCTAGAATTAGAATATTTTCGAAATTATGCAAACGATAATTTAAACAGGATATTTTGATGTTTTACATGCTTCATTATTGGTTGTCGATTGGAAAACGGTTCCTTGGCATCCACTCGCCTAACTAGATAATTTAGCCAATCAATTCATCCGATAATAAGAACTCCAACGATGAAAATAAACTCCAACCAAATTCGTTTAACGTCAATCTTTAGGGTTGTCTTACATTTCAAACGATCAGAATTAAGAACGAATACCGAATTAACCTGTATTCACAAAACAAATCCAATACTTAAGGTGATTGGCTGGCCCACTTCGAAAAAATACCAGTCGAAACCAAGCTTCGATAATTGGGACATTATTATAACATCAAGTGTGTCATCAGCTTGATGATAATTAAGGAATATTTGATTTGGTACTAAACCATTTCTACAGCACTCGAGATATGACACGAAAAATAACAATGGAAGTTACAGTAGAAATAGCATCAATTGATAGCCAAGTAACAAGACATTTTAGTCTTTAGAAATCATACGGTAAAATACTATGGGAAAAAATAGCTACATTAATTAAAATAGAAAACAACTCACATTTATAAGGGCCAATAGTGATCCTTTGATTTTGTGACACGTCAAAAAACGTTACAAATTAAAACTTAGTCGCAAACTTGAAAATAAATTCCAAATAGTAATTGCTAAACGTTTATATCACGAGTAATTACTGTCGGAACTATACTGGCTATGTGAATAGAGGCCAGTGAAATTTAAAATCTAGCTAGTGCATTAATAAATCAAATGTAAAGACCTTGAAACAAAGTGAATTAACACACCAGATGTCAAAGTTGACGATCATTACGTTCCAAAAGGAACACATTTTTAACTAGTTTCGGTATATTAATGAGGGCATCCAAAATATATACTAGTGTGATTTTGTGGGGCCTATATTTTACAACCAGACTAGATTTGTGGAGCAATTTATGGGGACATTTTGTGGATTGGAAACACTGCAATTTAACGGTAAGGAAGTGCAATTTGTTGGTACGGATATATTTGGAACTTCATGAACATGTTAAACGCATTATAATGCACAAACTGAAGACCATTTGAAGATGTACTTTAGTAATGCTACATTTGCCTTGGTAAGTTTGCTCCGTTTATTAAGATTTGTGGATGGTATTTCGATCATAGTACTCTTTTGAGAGCAAACGATTACTTCCATTTTATTCGTGTAGTAAAGATTAGTGAGCTTTTTCTTAAAACGCATTCAAATTTACGTTTGTGTCGTCAGCTGAAGTTTACTTCATTTTTTAAAAAAAGTACATAGAAAAATAAACTCCTGGAAGAGCCTACTAGCACCATCAGATTTTATGAATATAGTTAGCTGAGCAAATGCTTTTTAAAAGAAAAACTATGTGGATATACACCCCCAAGACATAACTTATGACAGAGGAAATCAATGTCTATCAGGAGGAATTTCAATCACACTAGCCACTAATGAATAATACAGACATTCAAGTGATAAAAACTCTGACTACTTCACCAATTATAACTATTTTATTTCACTATCTACTCTGAATAGCAAAGAACCGGGCTGATGTCTTATGACTTGCTACCTATCTTACCCCCAGGTCGAACCGAAAAGATGAACATTAGTATGCTTTTTTAATGACTTTTGAATGCAGAAGGTACGAATAAGTGTCTCCAAAGCATTGCTCATATGTGGTAGAGACAATGATTAGATAATGAGGTTAGGTGTATGACAGAAAGTTGATTGATCAGGCTATAAACCTCAATTAGTTAACAGTTGTGCTAGGTTTTACGTTAACCACGATTAACATCTTCGGTTTATACGGGACTATCATATCACTGCTTATTTTTGGTAGCGGCTTCGTGAAACATCCCACTTATAATCGCTGAATTCCTACAGAATCTTTACAACCCGTTGACGCACATCGGTCTACTCCGAGTGCTTGACAGTCTTATAAGGCTTTCTTTACATAAGTTTCTTAACGGGAAGAACCCTTACCAGTTTTATTTTCGTAACTATCTTGCTTGTCATACTAGTTTCCACACGCTCACATTCATTTAGGTTTGTTTTTGTTTCTTGTTATACACAACTTCGTTTTTCTATCTTCACAATCTGATTTTCATTGTGGTTAGATATATTTTATATTACCCTGCTGTAGAATTGATTTTATTTAGTTGAACACATGAATAAATTCTGTTATACTTGCAGGAAAACTTTACGGAAGCGTTCATGAATACTACATTAATCAGACAGAAATATTGAATGAGCACATTTTTCTGACAATTCTCATCAAGGGTGTAAAGAATAATTTTTCTATCACAATTTCTCACTTTGTATATATTACTTATAAAACACAAGTTTAAAATATGTTGGATAGTTCGTAGTAGGAAATGAATATGCTACTACTAGTGTGGTGTGCTACTTATATCGACACAAGTAGTATATGACGTTAGTCAGGAATAGAATGTCTGGCAGCAGGGGATCAAACATTTAAGAATGGAAACCGAATGCGATTTGCATTAAAATGCAAGAACAATGAAGTCTGAGACAATAGATGGACATTCTGCAAATTAAGCATTTACTATATGATTATTAGATTTTATTAACAAGTTCTGTAATTTTCTGTCAAATACATTCGATTGTCCCCCACTAGTGCTCTTGTTCACTACACTACTAACTCTTGTTATTTCTTCAGCGTTTATACCATAAACACGACAATCATTTCTCACAACCCACACGTATCTTCCCGTCATGCATTAGTACCTGACGCACCACCATACAGTTTGTTCGCTATTTAACAAGTCAACCGGTGGATATCGCATGACAAAATATGATTAAGTTTTATGTGTCCATGCTATGGTTACCATCTAAATATGATCAATTACTTACTAAACAGCAGAAAAGGGTTAAGAATATATAATTTAGCACTGAAGTTGTTAAACCGACGCTATTGTGTCAAGACTTTCACAAAACTGAATCATGTTGCCTACGTACCATTAGTCGTTAAGAGCAAAGACAGGAAACCCAAATTTTGGAAGCTGGAGTTGCCTCTAGGAGAGGTCCTGTTGATTTAGCTGCCAGTAAAAATGCATCCTCAAATCACCAGACATATCAGATATTTTTGGTAACTAATATTTAGTCAATTGTTCAAAAAAACCTAAATCGCTAGAAATAATAATTATGGTAACCAAACCTGTCTACTTTGAATAGGTTACTGGTTAACTAAGTTTAGTAGGACATTGTACTCAAAAAATACCTAAAATAAATTTGTGTTGTGAATAGAACCTCCGACAAATTGCGACGTTTTTGCTTTCCAATGTTGTGTGTACAGACATAAAAATGAAGGCACTTTGTGAAATAAAAGACAAATTTCGGTTTGAATTAAAAATAAAAATTGTATAAGGAGTGAGGTGATAGGGTCAGTATTATATCTTGTATAACATACTAAATAAAATATTGTGTTCGGTAATCAAATTAGAAGATAATGAACTCTAGTCTAAATGTAGTGGTGGTGGTTGTTCTGGAATAATTGAGGAAATCAGAGCTGCAAAGAACTGATAAGAAAGATTTGCTGCCAAACGTAGATTTGTAGTTATCCTCGAAAATCTCGATTCTTGTTCACCACGTAGGCTAGCGTTTGCTTGATCTCCTGTAGACTCCTGAGCAAGCTGGTTTTGCTGATTCTCCGATTGTTCACTTGCCTGTTGATAAAAAATCACATGTTTTACAATATCGTGTAGAAGAATTCAAGACGCGTGCATACACTACTAGCCAATCACAAATCTAAATCTCTATATCAGATAGTGGAATTTGGAAAAAACACTACCATGTGGTTTTTAAAATTGAAATGACTAAGAATTTGTTGGAGCTAATCATGTGAATATTTCTCCAGAAAACCAAAATCCGCAAACTCGACAAATTAATTTGATCCGATAATTAAGGATTGATTCGTTCGGTCAACAGAACAAATCCTGGGGTTTTGTATCGTAGATGTTCTCTGGGGAGCTGTTACAAATGATATTTGGTTTTTATAGCCACTTCCCGACCAATTGGTGAAAACGCTGCAAAAATTAAGTGGGATTTGCCATGAAAATAACGAAACCTGACTACATCAGATATAGGAAGCGGTCGTTTTCCAAACATCGACACTGATTTCCCGAATATAATGTTGGGGAAATATTGTTACAGAATTTATTTAACTGGGGGCTGATAGATTTTTCCTTGAAAATTTCTTATGTGTGTAAGTAGATTTGTAGGAAATTTCTAGTCGCTTACAAAATGGCTGGAAAGTTAGCGAGATGAAATTTCTAGGTGTCACGCACAGAAATCGTGAGATATTTCAATATTTCTACGCCCATTGCCTCATTTGTTATTCAGTAAATCACTGGCAAAGCTACAATGAACTGATGTATTGCGTTGTCCATTGCAGTACGGTAAAATAGGCTGTGGCTGGAGTGCCTAACACATATATCATTAATCACACTATATGGATAACCATGGTCTTATAAGACGATACACATATGTCAAACTAACCGACGTAATGAGCTTCCAGGATTCAGAATATTACTCGGAAGTAAAGATGGTCACTACATTCTTGTTCTTTATCATATTTTGTGATCTTATCTGTGTAATCTAAGCGTTAACTTTTGGGTAGAGCACTGTGGTGCTTCACTACACATTTGGAACAATTCCTAGGAGAACTATGACATTCTGATTGAAAGTATGTTATGTCAAGTCCAATGTATTTTGCTAAATTTAACAGTGAACTTTTGTTGTACAACTAATTCACTATTAATGACTTTGACATACATCCAAGTAGTTATTTGATTATACTTCTCTGGAGTAGCTTAATTGATTATTGCATGTTTCACCTAATTACGTAATATCCACCGAATAGAAGCTACCAACTATTCCAGTTGACATGTGTTTGATTATAGTGAACGAATCGTTGCCACTTGATTGTCCTTCACAGCGTTGGCTGCTTTTATTGCAATCTTGAATATAGATGTAGACAGTTTACTGAATCAACAATATTAAAAATAACAATAGTATTAGCTTTACTTAATGTTATTTGTTTAGTGCAACATGAAATTCTCAGTATACTTACTGGAGTGTTCAAATTGCTTTGTGTACCTTGCGGATTTTGTTGTGGTCGTCGTTGAGCCTGTACTATACGCTCTACAACAGCATATCTGCGGTAGATATTATACCTAGAATTAGAATATTTTCGAAATTATGCAAACGATAATTTAAACAGGATATTTTGATGTTTTACATGCTTCATTATTGGTTGTCGATTGGAAAACGGTTCCTTGGCATCCACTCGCCTAACTAGATAATTTAGCCAATCAATTCATCCGATAATAAGAACTCCAACGATGAAAATAAACTCCAACCAAATTCGTTTAACGTCAATCTTTAGGGTTGTCTTACATTTCAAACGATCAGAATTAAGAACGAATACCGAATTAACCTGTATTCACAAAACAAATCCAATACTTAAGGTGATTGGCTGGCCCACTTCGAAAAAATACCAGTCGAAACCAAGCTTCGATAATTGGGACATTATTATAACATCAAGTGTGTCATCAGCTTGATGATAATTAAGGAATATTTGATTTGGTACTAAACCATTTCTACAGCACTCGAGATATGACACGAAAAATAACAATGGAAGTTACAGTAGAAATAGCATCAATTGATAGCCAAGTAACAAGACATTTTAGTCTTTAGAAATCATACGGTAAAATACTATGGGAAAAAATAGCTACATTAATTAAAATAGAAAACAACTCACATTTATAAGGGCCAATAGTGATCCTTTGATTTTGTGACACGTCAAAAAACGTTACAAATTAAAACTTAGTCGCAAACTTGAAAATAAATTCCAAATAGTAATTGCTAAACGTTTATATCACGAGTAATTACTGTCGGAACTATACTGGCTATGTGAATAGAGGCCAGTGAAATTTAAAATCTAGCTAGTGCATTAATAAATCAAATGTAAAGACCTTGAAACAAAGTGAATTAACACACCAGATGTCAAAGTTGACGATCATTACGTTCCAAAAGGAACACATTTTTAACTAGTTTCGGTATATTAATGAGGGCATCCAAAATATATACTAGTGTGATTTTGTGGGGCCTATATTTTACAACCAGACTAGATTTGTGGAGCAATTTATGGGGACATTTTGTGGATTGGAAACACTGCAATTTAACGGTAAGGAAGTGCAATTTGTTGGTACGGATATATTTGGAACTTCATGAACATGTTAAACGCATTATAATGCACAAACTGAAGACCATTTGAAGATGTACTTTAGTAATGCTACATTTGCCTTGGTAAGTTTGCTCCGTTTATTAAGATTTGTGGATGGTATTTCGATCATAGTACTCTTTTGAGAGCAAACGATTACTTCCATTTTATTCGTGTAGTAAAGATTAGTGAGCTTTTTCTTAAAACGCATTCAAATTTACGTTTGTGTCGTCAGCTGAAGTTTACTTCATTTTTTAAAAAAAGTACATAGAAAAATAAACTCCTGGAAGAGCCTACTAGCACCATCAGATTTTATGAATATAGTTAGCTGAGCAAATGCTTTTTAAAAGAAAAACTATGTGGATATACACCCCCAAGACATAACTTATGACAGAGGAAATCAATGTCTATCAGGAGGAATTTCAATCACACTAGCCACTAATGAATAATACAGACATTCAAGTGATAAAAACTCTGACTACTTCACCAATTATAACTATTTTATTTCACTATCTACTCTGAATAGCAAAGAACCGGGCTGATGTCTTATGACTTGCTACCTATCTTACCCCCAGGTCGAACCGAAAAGATGAACATTAGTATGCTTTTTTAATGACTTTTGAATGCAGAAGGTACGAATAAGTGTCTCCAAAGCATTGCTCATATGTGGTAGAGACAATGATTAGATAATGAGGTTAGGTGTATGACAGAAAGTTGATTGATCAGGCTATAAACCTCAATTAGTTAACAGTTGTGCTAGGTTTTACGTTAACCACGATTAACATCTTCGGTTTATACGGGACTATCATATCACTGCTTATTTTTGGTAGCGTATCACGCCCTATAATGGAGGTAGTGCTTATGATTGGAGACTCTGGGTGATGTGGCTCAGAATCGATCACAATGGCGTCAGTGTATACACTCTCTGTCTTCCTTAAAACTGTGAGATTAAAATCGCTAGATATCTTTCTACGGACTACTTCTTTCTTCCTGTACTATGTCCTTATACGCAATGTTTCTTTTATATATTACTACCACTGAATTAACCACTTCTATGAATCCGGTGTTCAACTTGTTATGCTAATGAGGTACGGCAACTTGGACCGATGCAAATATTTGCCTGGTCCCATGTTGTAGCTGACTGAGTGCTTATTAATTGAATTTATATTAGTGTGCTATTAGACTGAGCTGTTTAATTATACTGACGAACTGGGAACGGGGATTGATGTCTTTTCAAAATCTCCAACTTTTGTTTGATCGATACCCCCGATGCAATAATGGATTAACGCTACCAGCCACTAAACAATCCTGGCAAAGCGTGTTTGACAGCCGTTGTCCTCTTTAGCTATACCCTTGAATCGACGAATCGGGTGTTCAAAAAAAGACGTTCAACTAGCCGATGGGGATTTTTTAGTCAAAGATAACGTAATGAGAACCGTCTTCAATAGCTTCGTGATTTTATTAACATCGGCATCAATCTGCTGTCTTCGCTGTTTTGATTACATATAAAGTTGTTATTCACAAAACAAACAGGGTTTTCAGTGAGATATTACTGTTTGTTTTTTAAATAATAAGCTATGTGATCTAATTTTGTACATGTTAACATGAATCTCACAAGTCAAATGCAAGGTTAAAATTACTGTGCTTGGTTTTTCTCAGCGATAAATACACACTGTGTACTTAATTATTGAGTTTGCTAGATGCTAAATTTCGCCATTTGTATTCAAATAAATTTGTTCGGAACTTTTCAGACTAGTCAAAGAAAGGTTCGGCAGCTAGCGAGTATTTCAGAAAAATATGCGTAAATGATCCACTCTCAACGCAGGATACTAAAATGATAGGAAGAACAATTTGACTGCTATCCAGCCACCCTTTAGTTACTTTTACCAAGATATCTAGGTGTGATTTTGACGTAAACCTCCCACCCTCTTAATGAAGTAGAAAAAGCCATTGCTAATTTTAAGCAAAGGATAGTAGGAGGTACTGACGGATTAACGCCAGAAATCTTCCAAGATGATTGTTCACTCTTGGTTTTCAAGTTAAGAGTATGGGAAATGAACCTAGTCTCATGTGAGCGGGTCTCGACTGTTGATTATTCCAGTCTACAATAAAGGATAGAAATTCTCTTGTGATGACCACAGAGGAATCAATTTGACCCATATAGTGTCGAAAATTATCGACCTTAATAATCCCCGGGGGGGTAACTAGAGGTTATGAAGAACAAACTCGTAGAAGCCAGGATAGTTTCAGACTGGGGATGGATGTGTAGACAAAATATTTGCCCTTTGTCAGATTTTGGAACATGGACTTACCCACCGACTCCCAACCATGGTTGTGATTCCTGAACTTAAACCAGCGTTCGATTCTGTAAATCAATAGGTCTTATGGTAGTGTTCTTTATTGGAAGGTGCACCAAAAAGGTACATTGTCCTTGTACAGGCTCTTTACTCGAATACTACTAGTCAAGTCGGAACTTATGGAGGTGTCATTGGAATTGGCAACTCCAAGTGTTGTCTATCGGGGTTGTTCGCTTTCCCCATTTTTATATAACTCTGTCATAGACATTCTTTTAGAAATAACTCTTACATCGTGACATTTTAGAAACCGACTTATTACCGGGATATTTACCTGTCAATTTAGAATAGGTTGATAATATTGTTCTTTTTCGATGAGGATGCTGGCAGAATACAGAGGATTTCGATTACCATGCGCAACAATGTTGTCATGTTTGGGATGCATTTTCCTCCATCTAAATACAAAATTTTGCTTCAGGACTGAGTTGCATCAATACGTGGATTAATGGTGGAGAATGAAATGATTGAGCCTGTCGATCACTTCACTCATCCCGGAAGTTTCATCATTTCTAGTGAGTTGGTAACTGACGAAATCTCGACGCGGATTCAGAAGGCTCAGTTGTCGTTCGTCAACTTGCGTCATCTGCGGTGTAGGCGTGATGTCCGTTTGCCGATCAAAGGACATATATACGGGGAGTTTCCTGTCCTACTTTATGGCTGTGAAATGTGGCCTTTAAAAATATGTACAACATTAGAAGATTAATAGTATTTGATCATAGATGTCTTTGAAGCATTGTATTGAGACAACAGAGTGAGTGATTCTGAGGTTGAACACAGATTACTCGATGAAGATGTAAATCATTTGACGAGGTAGTGAATGCTTATAGACTGAGGTGGATAGGACAAGTTTCACGTACCCACAAAAACCGTTTCCATCGACACGCAATGTTTGCTGGCTTAGGAGTAAGTTGGGAGAAAACTAATAGCGGCCAAACTATCGGCGAATTATTGAATCTAACGGCTGGGGATGGCAAATAACATGACTTAGGACCACTCAAAAGGACGCACATTCATTCTTCCTTCCTCTAGATTTAGAGTTTCAAAGTTATTTTATTCCGTGAGTTCATTCTTTCTTCTGGAATCATATTCTCTAGGTCTTTTTATAACCAACGATAGTTACTGCTTTTACTACTATAGGATTACTTATAGTAATTTTATTTTGTTGGTATGGTAGTTTGGGTCAAAAACATACACATATGCCAGCCTCTACGCCAGTTAACCAGCTGCAACGCAGGACCAGGCACATAAGTGCATCGGTCCACGTTGCCACACGTCGCGCATGACTAAATGCCCCTTACTTATTTTATCTATTTTCCAAATGTTATTTCCCTCCGTAACACATTTTTGGTGTCCTGTCGTATGAAATATTTTGTGGCGCAAATAAGCAAATAATAGACTCCGCTCGTACTAGCAGAGAAGATAAGTTTGGTCAGAGTTTTTGGGATGCTATGCATGAGTTAGTAATAATCCATAAAATGAATCTAACAGTTACTATAAATCGCCAAGCGGTTAACCTAAAGTTTGTATGAAACTGGCGTTGGTATTAGAAAAATAATAGTTAGAAACTTACAGGTATACATAAGCAGCAACTGAGAACACAATAAGCGCCTTGTCCAAGGATGAATATGCGAAACAAAGCCCCACGAAAAGACAAAGTCGAAAAAGCAAGTAAAAACGATCAATTATGTCCATATTTCCCACCCCGTTAACCTCTTCATCGGGTCGATCATTATTTTGTATTGCATTATTAAACACTTCTTGTGCTGCTTGGGGTTGGATTTGGTCAGCTCTTTGGTTAACCCCATCTTCATTTGGTAATACCTCACCCGCTTCCCTCTGACGACGATTACCATTAAACACTCCCCAACTGGATAAAAGTGCCTGTGCCCTTTGAATCCACTGTTGCGTGTTGCTAGATGAACTGTTTGGGATTGCTTGGTGTGAAGAGCTATGAGTTTGTGGTACATAAGCATTGTTAGGAAAACTATAGTTTCCGGGGAGCATTTGTACCACAGTCCCTGTTAAAAACAATTAACAAGGTACTACATTAAGACCGATAATCGTAACATTGACAATAACTCACCAGCAAAAGCTACATCAACTAGTTGTACATTTAGTGAGATCCTTTTAAACTTGAACTGAGCATTCAATCAAGTGAAAATACATGAAGGGTTTATGATTATTGCAAAGTCCTTATAAAGTATAAACTAACGTTCCCATAAGCTTATTTGGTCAAAATCTTTGTACGTAAGTGAGAAATAGGAACATACTCCACAAAATGATACATTCATCATTGATTTTCCTAATCCTAGAGGTGATATTTATCATTACTATTATAAAATCACGACAATTTATTCCTAATTGAGATGTCTCGTTAATCTTATTATCACATAAAAAACTCGTACGTAAAAAGTAAATGGGGATTAGTTCCATACCTGATACAAAATCGTAAGGGAAACGGTAATCCTGTGTGTGGTACTCAGTTCGATTTACTGGAGGATTCTCCATATAAAAAGTTTGTAAATAATGATAATACGCCTGCTGATATTTATGCATTTGCTCGGGTGAAATATTACTGCAAGAAAAATTTTGAAAAATAACGATTAAATTATGATACACAAGTATAGGGAAATTGAGACGGACTTTTATCTGAACTCTGGTTTGTAATGCCTCACAAATTGGAGCTGAATACTATGAGTCTGTGGTGAAAAATGAAACAAAAACCTAGAATCACACAATGCATGCCGGTTTCAGATCATACATTTTTGTGGGAAATCTTACAGAAACGGGGAAATAATAATACAAGGATGACTAGACGAAAACGAAAAACAGGTGAACACTTCAGTATTTTTATTTATTTATTTGAACACATAGATATTGATACAGTAGGGCACCAGTACATATGCGCCACACAAATCTCATTTGATTTGTGTGAGGGCTGTGATACTGCCCGGGTGCTCAAACTAAAGCAAGTGGTATTTTATGGGGCCACACCCGGAGCCTTTGACCTAAATGTCTAACCCACAAGGCAGTGGAGCAACGTAAGGCGATGCTGTCCCATGGTAGCCGGTGACCAATAATTGGTTCATACGACATTTGTTCTTTCAGGATACTGAAGCCGATGTGTACCATTGGTTTGGAATCACGGTTTTCCAACTACTCTAGGTGGACTCTTCATGTCCACTAAATCGGTTTAAGCGCCGAACATTCACTTTTCGTCCTCTCAATTTCGTAAACAACACCCCCGCCACGAGAAGGCAGTGAGTAGGACTTCGCTGGCAGAGGCTTTATACGAGTAGCCATGTGGGAGCGTTTCGAGAGGAAGAGAGGACTCTCCTCGCTCTCGGCCGTACTATATATATATATATATATATATTCTCATATAACAGCTACATGTGTCGGTGAACACAAGCAAATCGTCAGAGAAAATTAAGAAACATGAACCTGGATTGAGGGTATATACTAGTAGAATAAAATAATCAAATCCGCACATCTCAACTTGTCAGCATTTAGAGAACACAGGTTTCGGAATGGGCATCCATTCTTAACTGCGACACGTCCGAACATTAGACCAAGATAGTGGCTTGCCTGTCAATGTGATAGTCGTAGAATTCAGCATGGAGTTTGAGATAGCAATCAGCTACAACGTAGGTGCCATACAAAGGCTGGTAATTTTGGTCTTCCAACTGGCTTAGATGAATTAATAAGACCCCAAGTTTGACGTCCGAAGATCAATTCCTGAAAGATACTGGACTCGGCAATGTTCCCCAATAAGATCATTTGTACACCACTCCCATGAGTCTATGAACAAAGACCTAGGGTTAGTAGTGACTCACTACTTGGGAGCAACTCCGAATTGTAATGCACTAGCTAGCTTTCCCTTAAACGGGATTCTGATTATCCGAATTTCATTTGAACATCTCTCCCTAAAATGTAAAGTTGTGTGAATGAATGACCAGTTTCTGTTCTTAGTAAGTGTTTTCGTGGTCTAACATAACTTAGATGGGGGTGCACATGTAAGGTCCCGTATGAAGTTATAAACGCCTTAGAAACGGGGATAGATGTAGTACACCTGGGTCAAATTCATGAACTACCACGTAATCTTTTATGCAGCAATGCTCAGCATTTAGTAACGTTGAGCGAGTTGGCTACGAATCAGTCGCAGCAACAAGTATATATATATATATATATATATATATATATATATAACTTTTCGCAAGCCAAATTTCCAACGCTTATTTCTTTTAGATGTCATTGACATCATTATTCTGTATCGTTTCATGTACACTTCCTAACTTAACCTAGTTGTTCTGACGTGATGTAGTAAATGACAAATGGATGTGTACCCCGGGATCTGAGTTGCTGATTGACAATATTGATTTTATCGTTAGCGATGTGACTATAGTCTAACCAGCAGCTGCTGTAAAGACCATACTGAAGAAAAGATACTACAAAGGGCTGCAAGATAATTCGGAGTGTGAAACTTACAACAAAGTATTGTCACCTCGGTGGTTGTTGACATTAGAATCGCCCATTAGTTTTGGGTTGGGGTATACTAGATGGATTGTAGGAAGCCCATCGACCTGAAAATAACCAGAAAAGATACCTTACCTGACTACAAATGTCTGAGATTGACGTATCATCTTTCAAAAGTTTACCAGCATGGATAAGTCTTTGAGATGGGACACTAGGTTGGGCGGGATGATGCTCTGATAAGTAGTTTTTCAAATCACTTGCCAGCCAGTTAGAAAGGCATTGCACAGTCAAACTAGGTATTTTGTCATTAGGTGATTTGATTACGACCTTAAACCTCATATGACCCATCTTCCTAGATGACGTAAAACAGTAGATGAAAACGCGCCCCTACTGAATCACTCATCCTAACAAGACTATCGTTCAATATCTTTGAGATGAACCATTTTAACAGCTTGATGTTAGGTCGTAGTTCTAACTCCTTTCTCTGCGTTCAATGAATTTTGCTATCTAGTCGGCTTCAGTAGCCCAAATGATGTCTCAGATGAACTTTCGGGAATAATAGATGAAAGATTCGGAAAGTGGTGAATAATTATTAAATTTTCAGCAAACTTTGGATTCTAAGCCTTTAGCCTTATAGTAAACATTTCTAGAGATAAGTTATAGCGAAGAAAGACAATAATAAGTAGTTCTACGTGAAAAAAACAGAAAAATCCATAAGACTACTAGGTTCTTGTAGCGGTAAACTAATCCCCAAAGTCAGTAGCTCTGAAATTTTTCGAATTTAATGCTGACCGCATTAGGTTTACTGGATTCACCAAGCTGGATGCGCTTGATCACGCGTTAGCACCAGATCAGGAGTGGATATGCCGTGCTACTTATTCCTTTGAACTACTAGCCAGCTTAGACCAAACGTTCCTTTGAAATACTGATATCTTTCTAAATATATCTTCGAAATCCTTCATTCCTGACTTCGATTCAACTGGTTTAGGTATTACTGGTTAAGGTGTTGTCAAACTAATAACTCGCAACGACGGCGGAAAAAGCTGCAAGAGAAGGAAATATGAAAGAGCTTTACAATACAACGAAGGAACTAGCAGGGAAATATAGTAAACCAAAGAGACCAGTCAAAGACAAAGAAGGAAGACCGATCACTGAGATTCAGCAACAGCGAAACAGATGGACAGAGTACTTCGAGGAACTCCTGAATAGGCCGACACCAATGAATCCACCGGACATCGAAGCAGCACACACAGATCTTCCTATAGATGTCAATCCACCAAACACGGAAGAAATCAGAATGGCCATCAGACAAATCAAGAGCGGGAAAGGAGCAGGACCCGACAACATACCAGCTGAAGCACTGATGTCAGACATCGAAGTAACTACGAACATACTTCATCTTCTATTCAAGAAGATTTGGGAGGAGGAACAAGTGCCGATGGACTGGAAGGAAGGACACCTCATCAAGATTCCAAAGAAAGGAGACCTGAGCAAGTGTGAAAATTACAGAGGGATTACACTACTGTCAATACCGGGTAAAGTCTTTAACAGAGTGTTACTGAACAGGATGAAAGACACAGTAGACGCTCAACTTCGAGATCAACAAGCTAGATTCCGTAAGGACCGGTCGTGCACAGATAAATCGCGACACTACGGATCATCGTCGAACAATCAATTGAGTGGAACTCGTCACTCTACATCAACTTCATTGATTATGAGAAGGCATTTGACAGTGTAGATAGGAGAACGTTATGGAAAATTCTTCGACACTACGGAGTTCCTGAGAAGATTGTCAATATTATCCGGAATTCATACGACGGACTACAGTGCAAAGTAGTGCATGGAGGACAGCTGACAGATGCATTCCAAGTGAGGACCGGAGTCAGACAAGGCTGTCTACTCTCTCCCTTCCTCTTTCTTCTGGTGGTCGACTGGATTATGAAGACTTCAGCATCTGAGGGAAACTACGGCATACAATGGACAGCTCAGAACCAATTAGACGATTCGGACCTCGCAGATGACCTAGCCCTCCTATCGCATACACACGAACAAATGCAGACAAAGACAGCCAGCATAGCAGCAGTCTCTGCATCAGTAGGCCTCAATATACACAAAGGGAAAACCAAGGTCCTCAAATACAACACGAAGAACAGCAATCCAATCACTCTTGATGGGGAAACTCTGGAAGATGTAGAATCCTTCATATACCTTGGCAGGATCGTCAACAAACAAGGAGGTTCAGATGCAGACGTAAAGGCGAGGATTGGCAAAGCAAGGATAGCATTCCTTCAATTAAAGAACATATGGAACTCAAAACAACTTTCAACCAATATCAAAGTCAGAATCTTCAATACGAATGTCAAGGCAGTTCTACTGTACGGAGCTAAAACTTGGAGAACTACAACAACCATCATCAAGAAGGTACAAGTATTTATCAATAGCTGTCTACGCAAGATACTCAACATCGATTGGCCGGATACCATCAGCAACAGTCTTTGGTGCAAGAGAACCAACCAGCTTCCAGCTGAAGAGGAAATTAGGAAAAGACGATGGAAATGGATAGGATATACATTGAGGAAATCACCACACTGCATTACGAGGCATGCGCTAACTTAGAATCCTGAAGGAAAGAGGAAAAGAGGAAGGCCAAAGAAGCGGATATGAAAGGGATGAGTAAGAACTGGAAAGAGCCGGAAAGGATTGCCCAGGACAGGGTTGGATGGAGAATGCTGGTAAGCGGCCTATGCTCCTTCACGAGGAGTAACAGGCGAAAGTAAGCAAGAAAGAAAGTAAGTGTTGTCAAACTGTGGTGTTTGAATGAACTAATGATTTCTTTGTACTTGAATGCTTGACTTCGAATTTCAAATATGTAACGGTATTAAAAATCATTACATGTGACCTTACTAATGCGAGTTTGTCTTATTCATTGCAGGGCAACAGAAAGTAAACGTACTATAAGAAGAGGAACAAACTTTGAGCAAGCTAAACCTGCAGGACAATGAGTAAACCCATTTCGTAATAAACTTCCCCTTTTGCACTCGAACTACCTAATTCAATTTTTGAAATATATCCCTGTTGTGCCAATACGCCGTGTTCTTAATTTAGTGGCATTTACCGGTTTAAATTCTAGGGTATGATCAAGAATGATGTTAACAACGATAAAATTTTGGCTCATTTCATCACACTCATCGGAACAGATGTCTAAGCCTACTAAAAATGTTGGCATTCCCAGATAAGCCCATTTCACTTCCCTATGCAACTCTCAAATAATTACTTGTGGTGTATGTACGAACTAAGGATTCCTCTGTACCTGTTGAATGCTTAATTTCGAATTCCAAATATAATACACTCATTCGTGCTTATTTAGTACTTCTCGATTAAATTGAGTTATTTCTGAGATTTCTAGTTTGTACAACAATTCAAATACTACTGATTATCATACTACTATTAACTCATGTAAAGTGTACTAGTTCGGAATGTCATGAAAGATCGAAATTTCACGAAATGATTTTGGTGATCAACTTCATGTGCAGCTGCGTGATCGATTGATTGCAGGGATTAACATACCAGATCTGGAAAAACAATTCATGCAAATGTCGGAGTGTTCTTTTCAAGATGCTAGGAATGTGTGTATTAATTATGAGGCAGTGCATGAAATTCACTTCTAGGACATCAAGAATTCTACTACAGTGCTTAGTTATCCGAATCCGATGTGTAATCAAGGCCATACAGAAAGGAGTTTAATTGACCATAACCCTCGTTCTTGTGAGGATTTGCAAAGCAGATGACAAGGGTGAGCACAAGTCTGGTGAATGTTTGTCCTGTGGTAAACTTCACGCACGTAATTTATGTGTATTTCATCACGCTAAATGCTTTAGGCGTTGTAATATCGGACACATCAAGTCGGTCTGTAAAACTACTGTGGATTTCGCTTCAAGTAATGCTAAACTTTGTAATACGGATCTTATTAATTTGGGGGATTCTAATGATTTTATATTATCTTTATTTACAACTTCAAGTGACTCCATTGGTGCTTTTTACTATTTTATTGTTGAAACTGGCAGTATCAAGTCCATCGTTTCGCTTGAGAAGTTGATGTCATTAAATCCTGATACTATAATTCTGCCTATCAAAATTTCACTTCTCGTATCACTGGTTACAAACTTTCTACTCTTGTGTTCTGTACTTTGCTGATCAGAGACGAAAATGTTTCATCTCTCGTCATCAATCCTATGTCTAGAAAATTTTAGAATGCTTAAAGTATAGCTTTCTTTATTGACCACTGGAAATTGTTCTAATTGAGTGCTTGATAACTTGCAGGCAACTGAATCGAAATATGAATATTACGAACGACTCCAGAGTCCTCTCATTCAGATGAGCAAGCGTGAAATGACAATACCCTGGAATTAAACATCGTTTATATTAATTACTTACTTACGCGTGTTAATCCTAATGGAGCATGGGCCGCCAACCAGCATTCTCCAACCCACTCTGTCCTGGGTCTTCCTTTTTAGTTCTATCCGATTTTTGTTCATTTTTCTTATGTCTGTCTCCATTTCTCGCCGTAATGTGTTCTTTGGTCTTCTTCTCCTCCTTCGACCTTGAGGATTCCATGTAAGGGCTTGTCTTGTGACGCAGTTCGGTGCCTTCCTCAATGTGTGTCCTATCCACTTCCAGTGCTTCTTCCTGATTTCTTCCTCCACTGGGATCTGATTTGTTCTCTACCACAGTAGGTTGTTGCTAGTAGTGTCCGGCCAACGGACCTGGTTTCCGCCCCATACAGTAGAATTGTCTTAACATTTGTATTGAGAATTCTGACTTTGGTGATGGTTGACAATTATTTGAGTTCCAGATGTTCTTCAGTTGTAAATATGCTGCTCTTGCTTTACCGATCCGTGCATTCACATCTGCACCAGATCCACCGTGTTCATCGATGATGCTGCCCAAATACGTAAAGGTTTGTACATCTTCCAAATCTTCTCCGTCAATTGTGATTGGATTGGTGCATGCTGTGTTGTGCCGGAGAATCTTGCTTTTCCTTTTGTGTATATTGAGACCTACTGCTTCTGAGGCTGCTGCTACACTGGTCGTCTTCTCCTGCATTTGTTGTTGCGTTTGCGATAGAAGAGCCAATTCATCTGCGAAGTCTAGATCATACAACTGCATCCTAGATCTCCACTGTATCCCATGCTTCCCTTTAGATGTTGACGTCTTTATGATCCAGTCGATCACCAGGAGAATGAGAAAGGGTGAGAGTAAGCAACCTTGCCTGACACTGGTCTTTACTTCGAACGACTTTGTCAACTGTCCTCCATGCACGATTTTGCAGTTTAATCCATCATAGGAATTCCGTATGATATTGACTATCTTCTGAGGCACGCCGTAGTGTCGAAGAAGCTTC